GTCTACCAACTTTGGCTAGCAGCCGGCTGTCACCACAAAAGAACTACGGGACGAACCATCGAAAGCTTTCGAGGTGTCACTGGAAAGGGTAATCTTAATTTTTGGAAGAAAGGTTCTTAAGGATGAAGACATACATAGATTCCAACCACGAACAATCATCTTCTTTTCGCTATCTTTGTAGCGTCTTGTGATTATGCGTATCTGAAGGAAGTTTCTGACAGCTATACACAGCAGGACGCAGAGATCGGCTTTTCTGCATTCTGACTACTAAGAATTGGTTTTGGTCGGAAGATTCATATTTTTTTAAAACTTATTTCGAATCAGTTTTTTTCTAAATCTTTTACAGAGAATTGTCGCATGAGTCAAACATAGCATTGCCAACAAGCTTAATGAACTCTTCTATCACCGCCGAACCCCAATTGACCATGGAGTTCAGATGGCCAAAAATGAATTAGCAACAAACTCATCACCAGACAAATATGCTAAACGAAGATGGATTGGACATACGTGCTAAGGAGACCGATGAATGACATCGACAAGGCCTTCGATAGACAGTATTGACCGATAAGTAATTTGGAAACTACTTCAACACTACGGAATGCATTACCCCAAGTCTATACCGAACAGCTGGCTATATAAAACTGCCACGTGTCAGGTGATCCACAACGGAAAAATTCAGTGAAGCGAGGTGTTCGAAGTGCATATAGCAGTAAGATAAGCCTGCCTGACCATTATCGCCGATGATATTAACTAACTGCGGTGGACTGGATTATGCGTCAAACTGTGCGTCGGGAGTGAGAAGACAGGAATACGCTACACTGACAGATAAGAACACCCAAGAAGATCCGGATTTCGCGCATGGATGATTTATGTCTAATGTCACTCGCACCAGGTCAAAGACATGCAGGCGAAAACCAGCAAACTGACAGAAGAGACTGGTAGACAGCGAAGACAAGACTCCAGGTGAACATAGAGAAGAGGGAAGTGATGAAGGTAACCAACCAACCAACCAACCAACAACAACAAGCACCAATCACTATCAAAGGGGGAGATTTGTCAGAGGTTACTTCCTTCACTTATCCAGCTAGGAAGCATCGTTTCAACTACAGGCCGGCGGAGCGGATGGAGATGTCAAAGCCAACCAGAATCAGAAAGGCAAGATACGCCTTCATCAACCAACCTGAAACCAGTTTGGAAATCTTCTACACTAACTCAGCCAGCCAGCATAAACAATAAGATTCGGATTCTGTTCAACACAAATGTCAAGTCAGTCACGTCACGAAAAGGATTCTCAACACGTCACCGTAGACTTTGATCAACAGCTGCCCACTTCTCTGGCTCTTTACTTAGGATCAAATGGCCAGTCAGCCAGCCAGAAGGAATTAGAAACAAGGAACTTTGGCTGGGTGGTAACAAACCCAACCAAGAGCCGATGGTCAACAATTATGTAGGAGAAAATGGAGATAGAGAGACTGATCAGGCATACGCCACTGAGGAGGCCGTCGAATGATACCGCGCCTAATGTTGGCCATCGCTTGTCTTTGGAATCCCAATAGGAAGCGAAAAGTAGGTCATCAGTGCAAGGATGACCTGGAGGAGATCGAAACGGAAAGGAAATGAAAGCTTTTCATCAGTCACGGGGTTAGCTAAAAGAGAAGACTGTAGAAAAACAGAGTGAGTTACAGAAGTACTGCTGAAGACCTATGTTCTCCACTGGAAACCCAAGAAAATAATAATATATAATAATAATAAAAACAATACCTGGATACGGTTTATCCCCATTACTGGATGATAAAGCAATTTCCGGTTTAGGTAATAATGTTTGCATTAATTCAACATTACGCCAATTCGGTCCATAGACATCCCCGTCAATATCTGAGGCAAAATTGACTTCAGTAGTATGTGTATCATCATTATCATAACAGATAATAGATATTTGTTCAGGTATATAAAATCCTGGCACCTAAAAACACCATAAATGAATACAGACAGACAGACAAATAAATTAATAATATTGTGGCGAGTTCTACTGATAAGATTTGTCAGTAGTATATGTATATTTACTAAATATAAAGAGAAGTTCATCGTCGTAAAAACGTCAAATAGCAGGGAGATAGATATGATGTTGGAGAAGGAAAATGATACCGAGTTGAGGTGATACATGGGAGACATGAGTGAATGGAACACAATGAAACACAATATGAAGAACGAAGGCCAGAAGTAACACAACACGGAAGATCTGTGTACAAATGATGAGTTGAAGATAAGGTGGTGTACATAATTTGTCTATATAGAGATACCAATTTCCAAATAGATCCACTGACGAATAAGATGTTTGTGTTCACTGTTTCCTAGCATACTCTTCCATTGAGTAAATGGTGAAAATCATATATAGACCAGCACCTATGAACGAAATTGAGATTCATAGGTATGCGGTAAATGACCCTGAAAGCATGATTAACGTCAATCTTGTGTTCTGTCTCCACAAGATGCGCCAGAATAGCACTGCGAATAGATTTTGTTTGACCTTTGCTTAACCAGGCAGGGTGATGTTCGGAAATTCGACGAGAAACACGCCTAATTGTACGGCCTATGTAACTGGCTCCACAGGAGCAGTTAAATTGGTATATACACATGGAAGAGGCGAAATTAGGCAGTTTGTCTTTTATTCCCGAACGCAGAAGAGGAGTGGTTTTGAAGATACAGCGCAATTGAGCAGCAGGGAATGTTCTTTTTACCGCATTTCTGAGACGATGTGTTAGTATTTCACTTGTGTTGTCTCCTAGGAACTGCATCTGCAAGAACAAGGATTTCTTTGGAACTGTTGGTACCTTGGATTGTTTTGGTTTTAGATTCATATTCTTATCAATAAACTTTTCCGGATAACCATTCTCACTTAGCAAACGTTTGATATTGTTGAGCTCCTCGTCAAGACATTCATCCGAGCAAATGTCTCTTGCTCTGTGGACCAGGCACTTTATTAGATTGCGTTTGTATTTCAAGGGCACAAAGCTGAGAAAATGTGTGTATTGGCCCGCTGATGTAGGTTTTCTATAAACATTTCTTCGTATTGTGCCATCCTCTTTTCTTGTCATAAGGACGTCTAGAAATGAAATACTAGAGTCTTTTTCTTTCTCAATAGTAAAATTTATTGCAGGATGTACCAATTTAACTGCTCCTGTGGAGCCAGTTACATAGGCCGTACAATTAGGCGTGTTTCTCGTCGAATTTCCGAACATCACCCTGCCTGGTTAAGCAAAGGTCAAACAAAATCTATTCGCAGTGCTATTCTGGCGCATCTTGTGGAGACAGAACACAAGATTGACGTTAATCATGCTTTCAGGGTCATTTATCGCATACCTATGAATCTCAATTTCGCTTTAAGAGTTCGACTTCTAAATATTGCTGAGGCTGTGGGGATTCATATTAATAAGCCTAATTTATGCACCCAGAAGAAGTTAGTCCAGTCATTATCATTACCTTGGCCATCCAGGTTTGAATAATCCAGAATTTTTGTGAAATTTCCCTAGTTTTAGTTGATATTCTATCCGCTGTTATATCTTTATTATTATTATTATTATAATTTAAGCATCTTTAATGAACTGCAATAGCATTGATCATACTTTACAAATCGATATTATTTAAAAAAAACGCTAATATTGTTATTAACTACTAATTTAAAATATTCTGTGTATAAAAACATATATATAATTGTAGAGCCTGGAAGAGGAATTTATCGAAAAGAATATTCTTTGCTCGATTATTTTGTTTTTATAGATGTCTGAATGAACATTTTTGCAATACTGCAGATATGTTGACGACACGTTTGTGATCTGCAATAATATGGACCACTCATCCATGATGTTCGAAAACCTCAATGCGGCTCACCCTCACATAGCATTCACAATGAACCATGAATGTGACAATCAGTTCACCTTTCTAGATGTCAATATAAATAGGAGAAATGATGCGATGATTGAAAAATCCGTCTGTGAGAAAGAAACTTGGACTGGTCAATACTTGAATTATAACAGCTGTTGGCATATCGCCAACAAACGGAGACTGGTAGAAATGTTTTTTGGCAGAATTATGACGTTATGCTCACAAGATAGGATTGAAGAGGAACTCGCAGTAATCGAAAAGAACTTTATCGAGAATGGATGCATGTGAAAATTCACATCAAAATATTGAAGTGAAAAAACACCCAGCCCGAAACCAAAAATAATTGAAAAGAAACCAGCTTTTTTTTGTCCACCGTACAAAAAGGGTGAAGTATTCACAAGAATTATTAATATATGTGAAAAACTTACGCACTGTGGTAGTAAGTCATACCAGAATTGTTTGTTCATTAGATATATCACACAGTGACACAGTACTATTTACTGGATGATACAGTTTCGAACAAAATTTATTGTTCACAATCATATCATCAATAATAATCACACAACTTCGAAACTTCCGTTTTATAGTTTTCTTTGTTCTCTCCTATTTGTCGTAGAGGTAGTAGAATTTTCCAGATATCTGGGACAGGCATTGAATCACTGCTATTACACGTATCTGCAGTTGATTCGATAAACAAAGATTCCGTTGGGACCCGATCCAATGGCCAGCCCATGAATTCTAACTTCTGCCAATTCACGATATAGCGCAACCGCTAGCCAATGTCTTCGGTGAGTTTTCGTCCTCACACCCGACCTGCAGTGGCTTAATGGTATACAAGCTCGCCTTGTAACCAGAAGGTGCTGGGTGGGTGCGTACTGATGAAGAGTCTCAAACTAGGACGAAACAGTTGTCCAGTACTCCCATGTTTTCCAATGGTTCTCCAACCAATGTCAGCTCATGATGAAGTCCTGTAACCAATCAACCAAATCCCTACATACCAATACTTGAATAAGGAATGTTTCATTCCTCTGAACTTTTGTCAATAAGTCTTGATGGGTATCAATTTTGTTGAAGGCTTCTTCCAGAAGATCTGGTTGTGCTTTTATGTCGTTAGGACTACAGAACTCGTTAAACAGACGCACCCATCGGTAGGAACTTGTTAGTTAACACTTTCAAGTTAGCTTCTCACGAACTGACCTTCCTAAAGTTCCGTTGGGTCTTCTTATTAGTTCTATATCGAAAAAAATGAATTCGTTTTCCATTTCAACAGTGAATTTTACCACCGGTTGGGAGTTGTTAAATACTTTTTGCAGTCGACAGGGGTCTTAACTTTTGTCGCATACCTTGTGTACAGTTCTAAGCTGTCAGTGGTCGACTTTACTGGGCCATATTCTCGAGGCTAGTCAGTCCGCTGGTAATGGACCAAAGACAAATAAATCCCATTGTAATAACATCCTTTTATCTGTAGATGGCATCATTGAAAGTGAATTGTACATGTTCCTTGTGTTCCGATGTTGAACTAGTTATCATCTATATCTTTCCTTATATATAGAAGAGATAGTTTGCGTAAGTGAGACAATAGATGAAAAGTCACTCCATGTTGAAAGATAACACACTTATATGAGCAACAGTCATGTCTTGTATGTAATCGATGAACTGGAAAGTGTCACAAAGCGTGTACGTGTATAGATATGTCAATGGACGTGAACATTGAACGTTTGTTTATTGGAACTAGTAACCATTGGTGGGCAACTCGAAGGCGCGAATGGTTAGATCGTGTGCAAGTTCGAAAAAGACGGAAGAATACGAATAAAAGTACTTTATAATTGTATTTGTACAAAACATTTGTTTGTAGACTTGTATTAATCTTTACTTTAATTGCCGAACAATATAGCTTCCTTCAAACGAATACTGGTGTTTTTTGGAGTTAAAGTCAAGAAGATACATAGTAATTATCGGCTCAGAGCGTCTTCGTTACAATAGGAACTTAGGGTTAAGTTACTTGACAGATATTTCCTTACAGGTTGTTCAAGAATATCAGCCAACGATTTTGTAACAGAAGGATTCGCTGAGAAGAACCTCTTCGCCGAACTAGGTGTTTTATTTTCACTTGATGTCTAGATGGGGATTATTCATGAATATATATATACACACACACAAGATCTAGGTTGATATCAGTTAGAAAACCATTGAAAACCAGCACAGAGTACTCGACAGCTGTTTCAGCCTTGTTTGGGATTTCTCTTCGGTATGCACCACCCACTCGGCTTCGAACCCAGGATGTTCCGGTTATAAGCAAAAAAGCTCGTATAGCATTCAGTCACTGGGAGCCGATTCAATGGCCAGTCTATGGATTTTAGCGCGACTTTACCAATCGATGTCATCGACGGGAAATCCATCCTCACTCCCGACTGGATGGACAGTACTGGTCACGACTTGACACCAGAACTCCAGGCAACTTCGTCCTGGGTTCGAAACCTAGTAGGTGCGTACTGCCGATGAATCTCAAACAGGGACGAAACAGACAGCTGTCCAGTACTACCTACTGCTTTTCAATGGTTCTCTAACTGATATCGATCGGTGGTATAACCTGAGGTATATATACATATATATGTATTCAAACTGTGCAACTTACATTACATACGAACAGTAACTTGTTTATTCCAGGCCTGATAGTCACAACAGATTCATGTCGTAGAATGAAAAGTGGTTTTGTATTAGAAGTAGTATTTGATCCAGTTATCTCATTACCGAAAATATCCTGTTTTCCATTCACAGTGAATGATCTTTTTCTTGTTGGACGAAGTGAATATTGTCGCATAATTCGTGGAGTTCCATTCCCATTTGGTTCTGTAGAAGGAAAGGGGTAAAAGAGGAAGATTTATCTAAAAAGTGAGATAGGAGTAATACATTGGTATTCTGATGATGAATTTAATAAAAAATAAAGAGATTGGGGAAACTGACTGGTTTCAACGTAGAACTAAATTTGCACAGATATGTGTAGCAGTTCCAGTTGCTACACTCCACTACATGTAGCACACAAAGCAAGAGAAGACAGTAAAAACATATTCAAATCACAGACATATGAGGCAAATAGAGTAGTACTATCTAAGAACTACATAGTTTTATTGGATATTAGAAGTCACAAGGAGTGGATGCATCTACACCAGCCATTTACAACGAACAATTTGAGCCATATCACCAACCATTGTCTCCAGCCTTCATCGGTTTTTACTGTCCCGACGACCCCAGACAGACAGCAGTCGACACCTTCATACGTGGCTGGCGTAAACTAACGCTGTTGTGGAATTCGTTGATTCATGAAACCATGCTTTGGTTTCACTACCAGTGATTCTTTTCCAACCTGATCCTATGTCAGCTAACATTGCCCGTCGAGGAAGGCGATGACTAGGCATGCTTAACACATGTCTTAACCACCTCAATCGATGCAGCTGCTTCACAACCTTGTTGATCGATTTCCCCTCCTTACCTAGCACTCGACCAATGCCTAACCTCAATATTGCTCACTCTATTATACCACCTAACACGGGAGATAGAATGCAGACATCTATGATCAAAGACAGCTAACCAGCATTTTCATGTCTTCCAATTTCAATGGCTTTGTCTCACAGCTAGCCATAAAGTAGGACGGAGGGGACTGCTGGAGAAACACACACCCACAGAGTCTTTTTTGAATTTTCCTTTTTCATTCTACTGATTGACTAAGTTTCAACGTAGAACCACTTTGCACAGAAGTGTACCACTTCAAGTAGCAACACTCCATGACGCACAAAAAATGGCGGAAGGAGAGACAAGAGAGAGGGAGGGAGAAAAAAAGGGATTCAAAAGAACTATGAATAGCAGATATTTCACAGAGAAAGAACAGTAGGACAGAAAACATGAGCAACAAAGACGTGTGCGTCGGTGACACAGTGGTAGAATGCTCGCCAACCGAGCAGGTAGTTCGAGGTTCGAATCCCGGTCGATGCAGTCCTTTACCTCTCAAAGCCAGTGATAAGACTGGTAAAGAGGGAAGGTGGGATGAGACTAGCAACTAAATCACTCTAGCTTGAAGCCCTATGTTCCACTGGAACGTAAGAAATAAAAAAAAATACAAACAACTTAGTTATTGTGGTTCTACAACGCTGCACATGTACGGCTTGCCCAAAGTACACGAATAAAACGTCCTACTCTACCCAATACTACATATGATAAATTCTCCATATCACTTAATTAAGAAGTGGCTGGTAGAGATTCTTGGGTCGATGAAAGAGAAGCTGTTGAGATACAACCTCCGGGACATATTCGATTTTGCTGATTCAATTAAGAATGTCCATTTGGTAGATAAGAAAGTGGTCTCCCTAGATGTCGTTCTTTCTCTCTCTCTTCACCAAAGCTCCACTTACAGAAACTATATGCTTTTTTGGTGAATTCATTCAACAATAGCATCGGTATACCAATCCATTATCTAAAGGAACTGTTGCTACGATTCACTACCAAAGTCTACCTTAGATTCAACAAAGAAATATATAGGCGAATAGATTGAGTAGCAATAGGTTCTCCTCTAGGATCCTTCTTGGCCAACTGTTTCATGACTAGCCTAGAAAACAATTCCTTATCATCAACTATCGAAGAGTTCCAACTCTAAAAGAGATACATCGATGATACTTTCATCAATTGTAGCGAGAATTTGAATCCAAACCGTCAATAAAGCCCACCAAAATATCGATTCACTCTAAAAGTTGAGTCTAACTCAAATTGTAATTTCCTCGATGTTCATCTGCAGAGAAATTCCGAAAACTCTCTGAGAAGATCCATATAAAACATGGAATTGACAGTTAACCAATTTTCAGAATTGTGTTTTTCTAAGCAGAAAGAGAAAGCTAATATACTCTCCTTCCTCGAGGATCCGGGATATATGTACCAAAGAAACAATTGATGAAGAATTGTGAAATCTCCAAGGCACCTTGATAGGAAATGGTTTCCCACTCAGATTCATAGACAAGAATCTAAAGCTAAAGAAGATGTCTGAACAGGTCCCATTCGCCCTCAGGAAGATGCTGATACTGAATCTTGAATTTAAAAGTGATACTGAAGCAGAAATTCTTCGTAAACAGCTTTCGAAATTTCTCAGTAAAACATACTTTGCCGCCGCCAGCCTACGAGTGAGACTTTCATGCAAGCAACTAATCAACCAGCATGTGAAAGACAAGCTGACGCATTGGGCCACTTCAATATGCATATGCCAGTTCACTAACTCGAGTGAAGCCAAGTCCTTCAAAGTTATGTACCCCTCTCTCAAAAAGAGTGAAGTCAGGGCATCTGGGAAGAGCTGAAGCACCAGTGATCTAAAAGCTTAATTCTATTGGATATTATAAGTTACAAGGAGTGATCGCATCTGCTTCAGTCATTGAGAACGATTTTGACCTATATCACCAATTGTCTCCAACCGTCATTGGTTTTTACCATCTCCAGGGCCCCAACCAGTCAGCCAGCCAGTCTACACCTTCATACATGGCTGGAGTAAACTAACTAATGTGGATTTCATTGACTCATGAAGCCATGTTTTCGTTTGACCCCCACTAACCCTTTCTCTTCCAACCTGATCAATCCTATGTCAGTCAGCTAACATTGCCCGTTGTCGAGGAAGGCGATGGTTATAGTAGACATACGTAACACATGTCCTAACCATCTCAATCGATGTAACTTCACAACCACGTCTGTTGATTTCCCCTCCCTCCTTACCTAGCACTCGACCAATGCCTAACTTAAATTTTTCTCACTCTATTATACCACTTAACACGGGAGATAGAACGCAGGTACCTCTGATCAAAGACAGCTAGCTGGCCTTTTCATGTCTTCCACTTTAAAAGGCTAGCTGTCTTTGATCTCCCAATTGGCTTTCAAACAGATATCATGGATTTCTTGAAGGAGATAAAGCAGATATGTGGCATAATGGAATGATTTGTGCTTCAGCTCAGAGAACAATGTGTCACAGGAAGGATATACTATCCATTAATTAATATCTTTGAAGAGAGAAAGAAGGAACATGTTTGCAGGATAATACGAGCTCGTTTTATTTCGTGGATACTCATCAACTGCATACATCCTAAACAAAATCAAATTATAAGTTTCAAAAAAAAAGTTTTGGAACATACTTTTTTCGTAATTACTTGGAGATACAGATAGAAGGTATAAGGAACCCAGTCAAAAGTAGATGAGTACCCTGCTCACGTCAACTCCAACTGCATTTACCAATTCACTTGCACTTGCGGAAGCAAGTACATAGGATTTTCTGAGCATATTACTAAGAGTCTCCGGACAATAGGAAGAAAAGTGTTATCGAGTGTAATCGCCAAACATTTAATTGACACAGGACACACAGTAGAAATTAGCCAAGCTTTCAAAATAATCAATACGCAAAGAAACCCATGGCTACTTCACTTTACAGAAGTCATTGCCATCAAGAGACTTCGACCAAACCTCTGTATACAGAAAGATAGTGTGACTAATCTTTCACTACCCTGGTAACCCTAATTCTATTTTGTTTTATTTTGTTTCGCCTTTTTGTCAGTATGCCTGTGTGTTTGTCTTGTTACAAAACATTCTATTCAATGTTGACTTTCACTTGCTAAGTTGAACTGACTATCAAGTTTCTAAATCTACTTAATTGTCTGTTTAAGTTTTAAAAAAATGTTACTTCACTATTCACCCCCACCCTCTTAAACTCTCCACCACAAGATGTGTAAATTCACTCTGTTCTCTGATCCTGACCCTGTAATATGCCTCTAACCAATCTGTGTTGTTTTCCAATAGAAATCTGAACTCTACCCCCTCTTATCTAATTCCAATATATATAGTTAGTTGTCTTTTGACGCTGAATAGTCTGTCTACCTACATCAAATTCTGGAATTATGTTCCTTACACCTTCTGTCTATAACTCCAAGTAATTATGAAAAAAGTATGTTCCAAAACTTTTTTGAAACTTATAATTTGATTTTGTTTAGGATGTATGCAGTTGATGAGTATCCACGAAATAAAACGAGCTCGTATTATCTTGGAAACATGTTCGTTCTTTCTCTCTCTTCAAACTAATAAAGGGAACCGGTTGTATGAAATTAATATTTTACTTGAAGATATTGTACGAAGAAAGGAAAGTTATCATGCAATAAACTCCTCTGAAAATTCTGTAGATTTTACAAATACTGTCCGGGATAAAGACATTATTATTATTATTATTATTATTATTAAACAATGTCTTATTTGAACAATGTTCACTTACCAATGTATCCATCTGAAGGAATTCGATTAAATCTACCTTTATTTCTTAAATGTACTGATTGTTTATGCTGAGTAGTAGATGAATTGGAGGCATTCGTTTCATCATTTAATACATCTTGAGATTTCCACGCCGGTCTACTGGCTAACGATGCAGCTACATTCAACAATGAACCTAATCGTGAATCAACACGTGGTCGATTATTCACCAGCACACCGATAGGATTCATCACTTGATTACTATGACCACTACTAGCAGCAGCATACTTGTAGTCTTTTGAACTATCTGGTATATTGGAATAACTTCGACAAGTGGAAACAGTTGCTACTGGTGGTGTCGGTAGTAGCAAGTACTTATTCATCATTTGTTCTAAATCCAATTGGCTACCACCAATACCAACACCAGTACTTGATGGAATAGATAGTTGACTGCGTACATGTCTCTGAATAATACTACTACTATTATTATTGTTGTTAGTAGTATTATTATTATTAGCAGCAGCTGCAGCAGCACCACCAGTATTTGTCCCATCTATACTGTTTACAACAGAAAGTGATGGAAGATTAGCTAAATTAACTAAATGCAATTGTGAATCAGATTGTGATGATAATAATAATGATGATGATGATGGTGAATTGTGTGTATTCATGACATGATATGGCAGGAAATCATTGGGATTTAATAATGTTTGCCAATCGACATAGGATGGTTCTGAGCCAATAATTTGGACACTGTAAGGAGAGGGAGAGAGAGAGAGAGAAATGTCATATAAGTTAATTTTCTTTGTACAATGGACATGTTAATTTTACAACCTATTAAAAAGGTGAGGGGTGTTAGACAACGGACGACCTGTAACGAGGGCCAGGCACCAGATCATTTTTTGAGAAAATCAAGAGATATTTATGGATTTTTATGTGCATTATTATTATTATTATTATCAGTGGAGAAGCAACGTCTTCGGAATGGTTGTTTTCTTGCTGAAGGTTATTCTGTACTGTTTGTGAACGTTTCTCTTAGATAGACAATTAGTTATCAGAGAAAGAACTTGAATATATCAAGAATTGAAAACTGAATAATAATAATAATAATAATAATCGTAAAATATTGTTACCAATAAAGGATACTTTTAAATGAATCAAGAATAATAATAATAAGAGGTAGAATAAAGTATTAGTAATAATAAAAATAACAATTAATAAGTAAAACACATTACGAATGGTAGATTCAGAGTGACTACCAATTCCTTTTGTACGCAGAGATCACAAACCTTCGCAATTGCAAACATCGTTATGTTTGGTCATCTGTTGACAACAATGAATGATGTAATAGTGCGTTAATATCACATTCGTAGTCTGTAAGATGTGCGTCGGTGGCACAGAGGTAGAGTGCTCGCCAAGCACGCCTCATGTGATCGGGGATTCGATCCCCGGCCACCGACGCACCTCTTTACCTCGCTAAGCCAGTAACAAGACTGGTAAAGAGGGAAGGTTGGGCATGAAGCTGGCTAGCAACCCCATCCTGTAAAAAATAATCACCAATGCTACAGAAACTTAGCTTGAAGCTGCCCTATGTTCCACTGGGAATGCAAAGGAATAAAAAAAGTCTGTAAGATGCTTTGTTAGTGAGCCTTATGGTACGTTCACTTCTGCTTTTTCCAGGCATTTAGGCTATTTACTCCATCATGAGAGTAGACATTCAACTTTTCGTACGACATATGTACTTCCTTCAACAAAGACACTCAAATCAACATACGCAGTTTGGAGTGTTGAAGTACCCGCTTAGTAACGTTAAGGAACATGAGTTTAACAGGATAATAAGTTCTGCTGATAACCTTTATCAAATCTTTGTTTGATTCCTTCTTGTACGTTATTTCCTTTAAATGACAAATGAATATATACAGCTTTATTTTGAAACTGTTTGGATAGTTTCACTGGGCCTTATTTCTTAAAAGTATTTATTGATGAACCTTTCAGGATATCTATTCTTAGGTAAAATATCCTTCAGAGTCATAACTTCCTATTCAACTGTACCATTAGGACAAATTTTACGTACCCTACTGAACGATATTCCACGTTCTTTTTATACTTTCACAACAGATTTCGTTCCGAACCAACAGCAGTTAGAGAGCTGAACATTTACTTCGTCCTAGTTCGAGACTCTTCAGCAATGCACACTCATGACTATACCAAGGATCGAACACGGGATCTTTAGGTTACGAGGCCAGGTTAGTTGACCATTCCACCACTTTGACCGGAATTCAATGACTTGTAGATTCTAACGTCTGTTAACTGTCACTAACCAATTATACCATCGGTAAACATTCACTTAACATCCTGACATGGTGACATGTGCCACTGCATACTACAACCTTTCTGCCCTTCGTATTGTGTTTCTTTGTCTTATTTTCGTGTCTCCCATGTTTCACCTGAATACGCTGGTTTGTTTCCTCTCTTCAACATCAAATTCGATATTGTTGTGTCGATGAACGTCTCTTATATACTAGTGATAAATCTTGTGAGTAGCAAACGCCACTGGTTATGACTTTTCAGTTGAAAATCAGAACACATCCACTTATCTATCAAGTGCTAATGAGTTGGATGTCATTCAGATTATAGGTTTTGTATAGGGATTCGAAATAATTTCAATGTATATTTCGTCACGAACCATTATAAAAGTTCAGCAATCAATGAAGGTCAGGGCTAACCGAACATTTCTTTGCTCATAGTTCGGATGAGATCAAATATTACTCGTCGACGGTATAGACTGACAATGTCACTAGAAATGGCGATTTTGTAGAGGTATGAACTCGCGAGTCAATGGATTCCTTTCCCCCCTTTGATGAAATGGTGAATAGATTGGTCTCGTAAACTGAAGATTTCTTGGTTTGATACCTGGGCGAAGAGGCGGTCATAGATATAGACTGCTGGAGAGTCCGAAAGGTGGATGACACAGTTGGTTAACTGCTTCCGGCTTTTCAACGACTCTTTAAATGATGCTGGTTTGTGACATCAGATCTATACTGAAATTATTGGAAATCAATACAAAACCCGATTATTATTATTATTTCAGGTTTGATCACGAGCTGACATCAGTTAGAAAACCACGGAGTACTGGACAGCTATTTCGTCTTGGTTTGAGATTCCTCATCACTACATACTCACTGGGTTCCAAACCCAGAACAAACAGGTTACAAGCAAGCGAGCTCGTAGACCATTCAGCCACTGGGACCGGATGCAATGGGTAGCCCATGAATTTCAACTTCTACCAACTCGTGATATACAATATAGAACAACCGCCAACCAATATCATAGGCGAATTCTAGTGACAAGTCGTAAGCAGAGGCGTCCAAGTCTGGTAAGAGAACAGTTATTCACCTATGACATTGATTGGCAGTTGCACGATATATACCACGAGTTGGCAGAAGTTGAAATTCATGGGTTGGCCGTTGGATCGGGTTTCAATGACTGAATGGTCTACGCAGGCGCCTTGTAACCGGACGGCCCCGAGTTCGAACCCCCGTGGGTGAGTACTGCTGCAGAGTTTTAAACTAGGTGGACAGAACAGCTGTCCACTAATCCGTACTGGTATTCCAATGGTTCTCTAACTAGTGTCAACTCATCATTAATCTTGTAACCATCAATCAAATCTCTGCCAACCAACATACCAAAAAGAAAAACAAAACAAACAACAGACAAATAAACTTACGAGACTTGAAAATTTCGCTCTGAATTCGACTCAATCTCAGCAGAGATTAATTCATAACCACAATCACATACACCATCTAATTCAAGTAGCTTTAAACGAAACAGTGCAGACATATCATAAGGATTTGTAATAATCGATTGATTGAAGGATAATAATGAATTATGAAATTCAACAGCTTGTATCCACCAATAATGCGGATCAATTGCATCACTATATGTGGGTATGCGTAGAATATCCGTCAGATTGGATGTTTGATACCAAAAATAAACTTTACGATAAACATGATCAACAGCATTGCGTAGAATGGGTTGACGTGTACCAGACAGGGTGAAACAGATTTGAATATATCTGCAAGGATAAATGGGTTGCAGAGGGTGGGGGGGAGGATGGGATTAGATATGAATACAAGTTGAGAAAAACAACAACAACAACAACTGGTAAATGACAGGAAATAATCAATATATTGATTGATTACCAAGGCATAATCCGAATAATGTGCCTAATCCGTTAATTATGCGATGTGACTATGAGTACATAACCTCGGTCATATTCACCGCCTTCTCACAAAAGTGAGAGGGTGAATGAGAACGTCTGGCTGTTCCAGCCAGAGAGTAGTGCCTATTCAGGTCTACCTAGGAGAGCTGGAAAATCCTGATAAAAGAAATCTGATGTGTACATGGGATCCAGAATCCGGAAGCATTGGATGCTATATGCAGATCACTTGTGGTGACTGCCAACTACAGGTGTAGCTACAACAGAAGGCGAGACACGGGGGTAAAGGTATATTTCTCATAAATCAAACCGCTGTTTATGTATATCTACAGTTTGTATTCGTTAACCAATCACTAAGCGTGTGATTTCGGATTACATCCAACGACATGAAATAGAATGTTCAAACTGTGGGAAAAGTATCCTGTCTCTAATATCAAATAGAATGTTCAAATAGATATGTGGTGAGATCTGTCTGCTAGACCAAACTGTAGACAACAATTGACGTCAATGTTTACGTCCCAAATCTTGGTCATGAGAAAAACAAGAACAAAGCCTGACCCTGAGGAACTCAACAACCAATCACAGCAGACTTAGCGTGGGCGGATACGACTCGCAGATATACCACCGGACTGTCTAACAAACAAAAGGGCCACAAAGAGATGACAGAATAACCTTCAGGGAGAAAACAACCAATCAGAAGACATTGCTTCTATGCTAATAATAACGCTAATAATAATGTACATAAAAATCTATAAATATCTCTTGATTTTTTCAAAAAACGATCTGTTGCTTGGCCCTTGTCTTCTGTCGTTATAGATACGCTGTAACCTGTTGTTAATGCCGAATTGAACTGTGAGAACATGTGAGAATAGCATTCCGTTGGCACACATTATCGTCTGAATCACACCACCACACAGGAATCTGGCTACTAGCACTTCTCCGCTTTCTCGTGGATCAGACGTTAAGCTGAAGGTTTGCGGAGAGGGTCGGTGGCCACCCCTAAAGACAACCAAGTACTTCGGTCTTGGCTTTCTGGCAGTATTCTAGTGTGACGACAGAAGACAACGGCAAGGCAACAGATCGTTTATTGAGGAAATCAACAGATGTTTATAGATTTTCATGTACATTATTATTCGTTATTGTTAGCAGAAAAGCAACGTCTTCTGATTGGTTGTTTTCCTGCTGGAGTTTATTCTGTCATCTCTTTGTGGATATTTCTTTGAAAGTCAAACCATGTATCTTCGAAACTTATCCACCCATGTATCTTCGAATCTTATCCACCCATGCAACGTCTGCTGTGGTTGGTTGTTGAGTTAGTCTTTCATCTTGTTTTTCTCATGACCAAGATTTAGGACGTAAATATTGACGTAAATTGCTGTGTACCAATTTTGGCTAACGGACCGCTCTCGCCACATATGTACATAGAGGTGGACATCAATGTTACGACCGTACAGCTTGAAAATCAAGTCGTTGGAAATACTTATCTGACTATGGAGAATCCATTCAACTAAAGGCGACAGTACCGATAAAGATGTCAAAACCAGCCAGAAACGGAAAGGTGAGATACACCCTCATCGATATGAATTCAGTCTGGAAATCTTCTGTACTCAGAATAAAGAACGAAATTCGGATTTTCAACACGTCAGTCAGTTCTTCCATATGAGTCAGAAACTTGCAGTGCACGTCACGAGAAGCATTTCCAACAGGCTATAGGAGACTTTAATCAACAGCTGGCTTCGCCGGTTTGATGTTGAAGATTAGATGGCCACCCAGAAAAAATTAGCAACAAGAAACTCTGGGAACGAAACAATCAAGAGCCTATGCATCAACCTATATATAGAAGAAAAAGGACAATGAGCAGACACACGCGTTGAGGAGACCATTGGCTGATGATATCACGGGCACCAGACTGCTTCCTGAGTGGTACCCGAATGCGAAACGACGAGTTGGAGCATTATTCCGAGTGTGACAAAAGGAGGCGGTTGTCTGAAGAAGAGATGAAAGCTTTACAGGCATTCGTGGCGTCAGGTGAAGAGGACCACCGCACAAAGAGTGGGACAGAGTGCTGTTGTTGCAGCTGTATGTTCCACTCGGAAACCAAAGTGAACAATAATGCATAAGTGAGTGTAAGTTTTCCAAATACTTCAATTGACTAAAATACATACACAAAAACGGGAACATAGGAAAAAACTTCTAAGTAATCCAAAACGGGAAACTTACAGAATCCTTCGAAGTAAAGACGGGAGTAAGACAAGGCTGCTTACTTTCACCAATGATTTTCCTGATTGCAGTGGATTGGATAATGCGACAGACGGCGGCCAGCAGCGAGGAAACAAGCATAAAATGGACCCACAAAAAAAAACTTGAAGGATCTGATTTCCCACAAACTTGAAGATTTACAAGTAAAGAGCAACAAGTTGGCAGAAGAAGCATCCAGAGAAGATAGGAGTTCAGGTGAACATAGAGAAGACAGATGTGATGAATATTCCTGGGCAACACCACCAACAGCAGCAACAACAACAACAGACAACAATCAGCATAAATGAAAGGAACCTGAAAGAAACAACCTCATTTACCTACTCTACCAACCTGGGAAGCATCTTTTCAACTACAGGCGAGGAACTGACGAGGATATCAAAGCGAGAATCGGGAAAGCAAGGTAAGCAATCCCTCATTACTCTCAAGTTCGTGTGGATAGATCAACAGCAATCAGCATGAAAATGAAAATAAGATCCGGATTTCCAACTCCAATGTGAAGTCAGTGCTACTCACTATACGGATCAGAGACTTGGCGCGTCATAAAGAGCACTTCAAACAAAATACAGACCTTCATCAACAGCTGTCTTCGCTCAATACTCAAGATCAGATGGCCGACGAGAAAAGATCAGCAATAGGGATCTCTGGGAGCGAACCAACCAGGAACCGATTGTGAAACAAATAGGCAGGAAGAAATGGAGATGGATTGGCTGGCCATACTCTGAGGAAACCATCAAGTGAAATCACTAGACAAGCCATTGCTTGAGTGGAACCCGAAAGGGAAGCGGCGAGTTGGTCGTCAGTGCGAGGGTGACTTGGAGGAGGTCATGTGAAGAGGAGATGAAAACGTGTGGGCAGACTTGGAGCCAGGTGGAGATTCTAGCAGAGAACCGACCGCACAATGGAGACGCACGGCTGAAGTCCTATGTTCCTCTACGAATAAAAGGAAACAATAATAATATAATATTAATAAGAAGAAGGAAAAACTTACTTTTGAGCAATTTCACAACTATCTTTATTTCTATATTCTTTTCCAATGCATAATAAGTGTAAACACCAGGCTAAGCATATACGTGCACTAGTTATTAAACCCAACCATAAAGGTTCATCATAAAAGTTGATTATTGACTCGTATAACCATGATGCAGAATCATAGGCTTCTTGTGAACTATTTTGTAAAAAAATGCAAATAACAATGAATTAAAGTAGAAATTAATGTCCCCATATTTCAGTCGTTCAATTTAAAAATACAGCTATAATGTGAATTACATATAATAAATTGACGGGTGGACAAGAAGAATGTCTGTCTGTTTTCGACATAGAACTTTGCACCGATGTGCGGCAGTTCAAGTCGCCACACGCCATGTAGCAAGAGAAAGTGGAAGAAATGCATAATATAGACAGTGAACAGAGGTGTGAGACAAAGGAATAGTAATAACGGAGAACAAAACAGTTTAATTGGAAATCATAAGTCACAAGGAGTGGATGCATCTGCGCCAGCCATTGACAACGATCACTTTGAGCCATATCAGCAATTGTCTCCAGCCATTGGTTTTTACCATCCCGAGGACCCCAACCAGGAAGCCAGTCTATACCTTCCTACATGGCTGTCTTAAACTAACTGTTGTGGATTTCATTGATTGGTGAAGTCATGTTTTGGTTTGACCACCACTAGCTCTTTTCCAGCCTGACCCTATGTCAGCTAACATTGCCCGTCTAGGAAGGCGATGACAAGGCATACGTAACACATGTCCTAACCATCTAAATCGTGTAATTTCACAGCTTCGTCGATTGACTTCGCCTCCTTACCTAGCACTCAACTGGCGCGTAATCTCAATATTGCTAACCTTATTATACCACTTCACACAGGAGATAGAACGTAGGCACCTATGATCAGAGACAGCTAGCTAATCTTTTCATGTCTTCCACTCTCAATGGCCAGGTCTCACAGCCAGCCATAGAGGAGGATGGAGCGGACTGCTGAGCAGTACCCGCCCCCCGATTTGGTCGATAGCCGGATGGCTAGATATGCTTAACACATGTCCTAGATATGCCAATCGATACAGCTTTACAACGTTATCGATTGATTTCACCTCTTTACCTAACTAACACTGCACACCTAATCTCAATATTACTCACCCTATGCTACCAACTAATATGGGAAATAGAAAGCACGATTAGTTGTTTTTAAATTAGAAAAAGGGAATAAACCAATCATGCAGTCAAAAACTGAACTGATTCAATGCATAAAAAAATTTACAACAGCACAAGATATAGACACTGACTGGATGAGAAAATTGTCATTATTATCATTATTCTTATGCATGTGCACGTGAGTTACTACACTATGTCACAAAGAAACCTAAACTGAATGAATGAAAAAAGGCGGATTTGCTTTTTGAGTAGAACAAAAGAGAATCATCATCACATGTTTTTCCTTAGATGAAGCTGACAAAATGTAAAATGCGGTAGAGATTTGAAAAACCAAATCTCTAAAGAGATTCAGTTTTGCATCCAAAGAGAGGAGGAATTTACAATTTTAATTGATTAAAAATGCCCATTAAAATTTTCAAAAGAATACAAAGAATACTCTTTTCGATAACCTCTTCATCATCAGGCTGTACAGTTATACATACATTATAGTGAATGAATGAATTAGTGTTATGAACAACATTAATGTTGTTTAAATAACATCGAATCAATAATAATATCAACGGATTACAGTTCAATGGTATCAATATGACAATACACGCTGAATATCAGAAAAATTATGAAAGATAATATTACAAATTCATGAATTTATAGTCTCTGCTGAAGGCCAAGGTAGTAGTAGGAGCTGGACTTACTTCTTTTGAACACAGAACACTGGTTGTTCGAGGCGAATCGCAATAGCCTCTGCTGTTTGGAGCATGCGGTACTTCGATGATTTTGGCAATTTATTAGGCACCCGGTAGATTATAGAGAGGGATTCTTCAATTCTGGCTGGCTTTGTGGCCGGTTTGCACCAGTTGGTCCAATATCGAACTGTTAATGGTTTTAATTACACCTTTACTTAGCCCGAGCAAGAAAAATCAAGTTCCTAGAGCAACTGCCGATATAACTTGCCTCACAAGCGCAGTTGAATTGGTAGATACAATTGGAAGTGGTTAGTCTAGGTACTTCATCTTTCGGTCGAGGTAGCACCATCGGTCGTGTAGAGAATAAGACGTGTAGTTCGCCAGCATTAAAAGTTCTCTGAACTTTTTCAGACGCAGCATAAAACTTTACTTTACTTTACTTCGGCTATCTCCTACGAGAGGATGAGCCGGCTTCATGAACATCTCGAATCATCGCTGCCCAGGCGCGGCGATCTGATGCAAGGTTTTGCGACAGGGTTATCCAATTCTTCTTCCACAGACGGAGTCCGTAGACGGTTTGTAGCCCCAGGCACTCCATATCAGCCTTGACTGTACCAAGCCATGTTTTCAGCTGTCCACCCCTGCGACATCGCCAAGATGGTAATGGCGAGGGATTTATAACTGATTTGAGCAGATCATCATCTGGTCGGCGCAGAACATGGCCAAACCACCGAAGGCGACGTTGTTGGACCAGTACTGGAATTTGGTTGGTGTTGTAGCAACGACGACGCACTTCTTCGTTGGAGAGTTTATCCTGCCAACGAACATGCAGAATGTACCTGAGGCACCAATGGTCTACTACCTCAAGTCTGCGTACATCTTCCGCTCGAAGAGGCCAGGTTTCACAGCCATACAGGAGAACGGATCGTATGGAGGCTTGGTAAACCCGAATTTTAGTCCTGAGACTGATTTCCCTCTTGCTTCATAGGACGCTTCTCAGCTGAAGAAACGCATTCCGGGCGTTGGAGATCTGCGCATTCACTTCGTTTTTCGCTTGACCGTTGGGAAGCATTACGGATCCCAGATATCTGAAGGATGGCACAATTTCAATAGGTGCTCCATTCAGGTATAAGATTTCATCATTGCTGGTGGATGTGTTCGAAAACATTTTGGTTTTGGAAGTGTTGATTTCCAAACCGATGGTAGACGCGAGGTGGTTTATCTGATCGAGCGCCTGTTGCATATCGGGGAAGTTTTCAGCTAGTAACACGACGTCGTCGGCGAATTCGAGGTCGGTTATGTGAATATCGGGCGAAAGTTGGACGCCGTGGTGCTCGGTTAGGGCGTGCCGCAAAATCCAATCAATTGTGAAATTGAACAGAATGGGGGATGTATGTTGATGTAGTTTGTGTTCTCTCAGATAGCTGGATGGCGCTTTATTTGCAAAGCTTTCATTGTCCCCTACTACTAGGTAACATCTTCAGCGCATGCACTTCAATTTGAATTGAAGTGAGCTTTTAGTTTGTCATCTCTCCTGGAGACCTTGAAATCAAAGCCCCCCCCCCCGAAGGAAAGCACAAAGAAAATCTCCCCTAACATATACAAAAGACATCCCAGAAATCACTGCAAGACTCTTCAAAACCTTTAGGAATTGATGTCGCACACAAACCAACAAAATCGCTTCACTCAGCTGGCTCTTTGTCAATCAAAAGACTCAACAGCGAAACAGGATAAAACTAACATCATCTACAAAATAAGTTGTAACGACTGGAAAAAAACACTATATTAACCAAAGTGGAGGCCCCCTTGGTCTTCGTATCCATGATCATAAACCAGACGTCCACTCCCTCATATCGCTGCATACAGACAACAACGGACATTGATTCGACTGGGACAACGTTGAAATATTAGACAGAGGAGAAACACCAAGACTGCTAGAGAATTTTTAGAAGCCCGCTTGGTATTCTAGTGAATCCAAAATTAACAGGCACACTGACATTGATAAAATTTACCAATAAATAAGAATTAAATCTCCTGCTCAAAAAGTCAAAATGCAGGCCAAAGAAACAATCAATACCAATACCAATACAAGTAGACTAGAGGATGTGAAAACACACGAAAACAACCAATCATGTTCAAGTTCAGCAGGAGAGATGACTAAGAAACTCGTGGAGAAAACTAAAAGCTCACTCCAACAAGTTGAAGTATGCGCTCAAGATGTTGGCCTGGTAGGGCAATGAAAGCTTCGCAAATAAACCATCCAGCTCAGAGAACACAATCACATCAAAATCATCCACCTGAGCTACAAATCTCTATCATGTCCGAAAATTCATCTTCCAGGAAAGGTGGAGATCGATAAGTATTAGATAACACTTATTTTATTCCTTTTGGTTTTCGGCGGAACATAGGGCTTTAAGTTACAGGCTTGAAGTCCCCGTAGGAGTGGTGTTTATTTATTTTTACGAGATGGGATTGCTAGTTTCACGTCCAGCCTTCCCTCTTTACCAGTCTTATTGCTAGCTAAGTGAGGTAACTGAGTGCGTTGGTAGCCGGGGATAGAACCCCGGATAACATGAGGCGTGGTCGGCGAGCATTCCACCGCTGTGTCACACCGACGACCATATCTATGACATTATCTATCTCTTCATAATTCATTATGTCTCACAAACTTTCATTTCTTGTGGTTTTATTATTTTTTCAATCTTATGTGTTCATATAATTATGCAAAAAGAGCTGAATTATTGCGATATGTATGAAAACGCTAAAACTTCCATTCTCTACAATTACAATTGTTTGCTGGCTGGATTCAACATAGAATTCGGCACCCAAGTGCAGCAGTTCGAGTTGCCACGTTCCAAATAGCAAACAAAGGTAAACAAGAAAATGAGTGAAGAGAATCAATAGCGTTTCGACAAGTATGAGAGTGAAACGCAATGAGTAATGGTAGAAAGGAATATGAGAGATTACAGAGACTGAATACAACGATTTTGAGCTATGTCACCTATTGTCTCCAACCATTGATTCTTAGAGTCCCGAGGGCCCCAACCCGGAAGTCTGCATCTCCCTTCCTACCTGACTCAGTTTAACTGTCAAGGATTTCATGGATTGATGAGGCCATTTTTTGTTTGGCCACCACTTACTCTTTTCCAGCCTGCACCTATATCAGCTAGTAATGCCCGTCCATCGGGGGAGGCGATGGTTAGGCATGCGCAGCACGTGACCTAGCCATCTCAATCTATGTAACTGTATATCCTCGTCTATTGATTTTCCCTCTTCGCCCAACACTCTACGCCTAACGTCAACATTACTTACCTTATTATACCACCTAACGTGAGAAAGAGATCGTAGACATCTATGATCAAAAACAGTCAACCTTTTCATGTCTTCAACTCGTATTGGCCATGTTTCAGAGCCACAGAGAAGGACGGAGCGAACTGATGAGCAGTACACACGTCATTTGGTTGATAGTCGGATGTCACGCCTATGCCAGAGACGGTGTGAGTTAGCGAAAGCAGCCCGAGCTTTCTGGATCCGTGCTGAGATTTCATCACCAATCAATCCGTTGGTGCTGATACAACTTCCCAAATAGGTGAAGTGGTCAACATGTTCTATCACTTCACTCCCTATCACTAAGCTAGGAGTTGACGTAGTCCAGTCATTCCTGTAGCAGCATCTTACATTTGACAGGGGCGAATCGCATGCCAAACATACAAAGATTGCTGTTCAATGTGTTCAGAAGACTCTGAATTTTGTCAGCGTCCTCCCCTAACAGGACTATGTCATCTGCATATTCTAAGTCCATAAGACTATACCCTGGTAACAAGTCGATTCCTAAGTCGTTAAGTTCAGTTAAGGATACTTCCATTAGCATATCTATGATGAAGTTAAACAGAAAAGGGGAAAGTGGACATCCTTGACGGACACCACTGGTTGTTATCAATTCAGATGACAATTCCCCATAAACCCTTACACGGCTACGTGAGTTTGAGTAGAGTGCCTTGATTAGTGGGATGTACTTTCTTGGCACTCCCTTCACAGTCAAACATTGCCATAGTACCTCTCGATTCACGGAGTCAAAGGCCGCCTTCAAGTCAAGAAATATGACAATTGTTGGACGCCTAAAAGTGTGTCTATGTTCTAGGATCTGTCGGAGAGTGAAGATATGATCTATGCACCCTCTACCTGGCCTAAAGCCCGCTTGATTTTCCCTCGTTTGTTCCTCCCGAGTTCGGCTTAGTCTGTTCATGATTACTGAGCCTAGGATTTTAGAGACTATGTTCGTCAATTGTTTGGAATGAAGTTATTATTAATATTAATACTAATATTATCTATAATACACAGACCAACTGATTTTGACTTCCAATTTTGTCTTACTGTAAAGTCAGTTAGAGAAGCAGTCAATTAGTACCAACTATGATTAGTTGATTACAGGATCTCACTATGAGCTGACATAGAGAACCATTGGAAAACCTGAGAGTATTGGACAGCTAGCTAGCTGTTTCGTCCTATTTCGGGACCCTTCATGAGTACAAACCAACCGCCAGAGTTCAAACCCACGACCTTCTAGTCACTAAATTTGGGACCTAGGGATAACACCTCTAGTTGAGACTTATTATGCACGACACTGGGAAAATTGTGAACACACCGGCCCGGAACTGATGGAAATTTCCTTTCAAGCTTTTGACTTTCGCGAGATTTGACAAGACTAATCTCTGTCCGTTTTTGACATGAAACTTTGCACCGATGTGCACCAGTTCAAGTCACCACACTCCACTCCATGTAGCACACAAAGGAAGAGAAGAAAGTACAAGAAATGCATAATAGAGACAGTAAACAGAGGTGTGAGACAAAAGAATATCGATAACGAAGAACAAAACAGTTTCATTTGAAATCATAAGTCACAAGGAGTGGATGCATGTGCGCCAGCTATTGAGAACGATCATTTTGAGCCATATCACCGATTGTCTCCAGCCTTCATTGGTTTTTACCGTTCCGAGACCCCAAACAGAAAGTCTACACCTCCCTACGTGGTTGGCTTAAACTAACTGTTGTGGATTTTATTGACTTGTGCCATGTTTTGGTTTGACCGCCGATAGCTCTTTTCCAGCCTGACCCTATGTCAGCTAACATTGCTCGTTGTCGAGGAAGGCGAAGACTATGCTACGCATACGTACCACATGTCCCAACCATCTCAGTCGATGTAATTTCGCAACCTCGTCGATTGATTTTCCTTCCTTACCTAGCACTCAACCGAAGGCTAACCTCAATATTGCTCACCTTATTATACCACTTCACACGGGATATAGAACGCAGGCACCTATGATCGAAGACAGCTAGCTAATCTTTCCATGTCCTCCACTCTTAATGGCCAGGTCCCACAGCCAGCCATAAAGGAGGACGGAGCGGTGACAAGACTAATTCGTGTAACTAAATTGATAATAATTATGAACAGTAATAAATTGTGCTCGAAAAGTCAACCAGCTGTCAATACTGCAGCACTCTACTGTGCATTATTTCAAAATGCACTTATCTGATGTGAACCTACACAGAATGTCCAAAGGAATAAATCAATAACAAGAGCTAGAACAAGAAAAATACAACAACTGAACTTACAATAAATAATCAGCCAAATCAAAGACTATTTCATACGCTCGTTTAGGATTATGTATCAATTTCAAGAAACCGACTAATGTTTGTCCAGTTGCAATAAAAATCTGTGAATACATCACTGATGAATTAAACAATGCAGTCACATGATTATGAGCCAAGAGGAGAGAATTGTCTTGACAGGAAAACCTCTCAGGCCGTCCTCCTCCCCCTCCTGCTCCAGCATCGGACATCTCTTGTGGATCAACAACCTTTTCTTCTTCTTCGTCTCCATCGCTTCGATCATTTACAGAAGAATCGACAACTGATTGATTCGCCTTCTCCTTGTTGTTGTTGTTATTTTTCTTCAAATTTCCACTGACTACTGAATTCAGTAGTGCACGTTTTTTACGATGAATTGGTGAACTGGACTTGATACTACTACTACTACTACTGCTACACCAAAGACCAGTCATTTGTCCAATTTGTTTTAAATAATTAAAAACATACAACCATAATTCAACTGCATAACTCTGGGTCCAGTAAGAAGTGTCCTTCTCATCTTTGTCATTTTTGTTACTATTACTATTAGTATTATTACTGTTATTAGTATTTGTATTAGTATTAGTGTTCAATGAGGATTTATGCTTAGAGATGAATTTCAATGGTGTATCTGTCAGCATAGAGCTATTACCACTAGTACTATGCTGTGTCATTAAAATTGGCGGAGATTTTCTTGCTAACAGCATTTGATTTTGTTGAGAATTCAAATGTGTATAGATCTTATCTACTATATGACTCATATACCAGACTGTAGGACTGGAGTCTTTTCTAGCATCGAGAAAAATATTCTGTGATGTTGATGTTGTTGTCGCCGTGGCTGTCGCTATCGCTGCTGGTGGTGTCAACATTGACTGATTATTGACCAGGGATTTCCGTGTAATTCGACTTGAACTGATATTCTCTAGGATATGATTACATGAATAGGCTGTATCTAATACTTCAATGATTGATTTATTAATATCATCGATTGAACGATTTGAATCTAAGCGAATATTTGTTAGGGTATTTAAACAGATGCATAGAATCCAGACGGCACGATATAAAGGATCTATACGAATCTAAAAAGACAGATGGACAGACAGAGAGAGAGAGAGAGAAATAATCAGTGAACATTAGTCATACTTTCAGAATAAAACACGTAAAACAGACAATAAATAAATCAAATCGACAATTTGCTTATTTACACAGTACGAATGAATGACTGACTGGTTTCAACAAAGAACTAAATTTGCACAGATGTGCAGCAGTTCGAGTCGCCACACTTCACTCAGCACACAAAACCAGAGAACAAGAAGAGAGTAAAAAGAAATGCAAAATAGAGACAGTAAACAGAGATACCAGGCAAAAAGAATAGTAATATGGAAGAACAATATAGTTTTATTAGATTTGATAAGTCACAAGGAGTGGATGCATCTGCACCAGCCATTGAGAACGATCACTTTGAGCCATATCATCAATTGTCTCCTGCCATTGGTGTTTACTGTCCCGAAGACTCAACAACCAGGAAGTCTACACCTTCCTACATGGCTGGCTTAAACTAACTGTTGTAGATATCATTAACTGATGACCACCACATACTAGCTCTCTCTTTTCCAAACTGATCCATTCTACGTCAGTAAGCTGACATTGCCCCTCGAGGAAGGCGATGGGGAAGCATGTCTAACACATGTCCTAACCATCCCATTCGATGTAATTTGACAGCCTCGTCTATTAGTTTCCCTCCTCACCTAGCACTCGACCGAAGCCTAACCTCAATATTGATCACCTTATTATTCCATTTCGCATGGGAGATAGAACGTAGGCACCCGTGGTCAAAGACAGCTAGTCTTTCATGTCTTCCACTCTGAATGGCCAAGTCTCAATCACAGTTATAGAGGAGGACGGAGCGGACTGATGAGCAGTACAAACGCCCTTTGGTCGATAGCCAGCCGGATATTACGTCTTTTAAGCCAGAAATGGCGTACGTTGGCAGGCGAATGCCAAATGAGCCTTCAGTATCCGTGCCAACGAAAATAATCAGAAATGTGAAGGAGGAAGAATAGTAACATGGAAAGACAATAGGATTCTATTGGATATAGCCGATCACAGAGGGTGGATGCATCTACGCCAGCCATTGATAACGATCACTTTGAGCTATATCACCAATTCTCCCTCCAACCACTGGTTCTCAGAATCATGACAACTCCGACCAGTGAGGCTGTTTACACCTTCCTATCACAGATTTCATCGGCTAATGCCATGTTTTAGTTTCACCACCACTAGCTCTTTTTCAACCTGTTCCTATTGCGGCGAGTACTACTGATAAGATTTATCAGTAGTATATAAAGGGGGGTTCATCGGCAGAAAAACATCAAATAGGAGGGAGATACATTTGATTTGAGAGAAGGCAAATCATACAGTGTTGTGGAGATATATGGAAGACGTGAGCAAAAGGAACACAAAGAAACACTATTTGAAGGAAGGCGAGAAGTAGCGCAACACGGAAGATCTGTGCAAATGGTGCTTTGGAGATAAGGTTATACATAATTTGGCTATATAGAGATACCGATTTCCTAATAAACATTCTTTTACCAAGTCTTTCGTCTTCTGCCGTGTCACTATGTCAGCTAACATTGCCCCTAATAAAACGCGATGACTAGGCATGAGGAGTAATATCCTTACCCCCCACCCCCATGAAATAAAACAGCCAACTATTGTCAGAACCTTCCTCTACTGAGTGAGCAGGACAATCTCGCCACGTCATTGAGTAAACAGATTACACTCAGATACAATAAAGACTCCAAAATAATATATCACAGGTAACGAAACTGAATACATTACAGTAAATGTTCGTTTCCAAACAAATGGGATAGAGTATTCACATAATCCTTGCGACCAAATAAATTTACATTTTAAAATTCACACAGCCTAGAGGATTTTAAGTAAGATCACCGGTTGATATCATTTAGAGAACTATAAGAAACCAGCTGGAAAACTGGACAGTGGTTTCGTCCCAGTTTCGGGCTCTTCGGAAGTGCGACCAACCCGCCTCCCCATGGTCCTATCAAGGGTCGAATGCAAGATCTTCAGGTTAAAAGGTGAGATAATCGACCATCCAGCCACGGGGAGAGAATCCAATAGCCTAGGAATCCTAACTTCTGCCAATCCGTAATATACAGGGTCACCACCAGCCAATGTCATCGATCGGTATTCGTCCTCACGACTTTTTTAGACTGACTGACTGACTGACCAATTTCAACATAGATAAATATGCACAGAAGTACGCTAGTTCGAGCTGTGGTGAGAGCTGACTGCTAGCCATAATTGGTAGACAGTAATTCACGTCAATGTTTATGTCCCCAATATTGGTCATGAGAGAAATAACAACAAAGACTGATTCAACAACCAATCACAGCAGACTTTGCGTAGGCGGATAAAATTTGTAGATAGATAATCTGAACTTCAATAAACGGCCACAAAAAGATGAAAGATTAGCGTTTAGCGAGTAAACAACCAATCAGAAGACTGTATTTGTTTGCTTAGAATAATCTACAATAATGTACATAAAAATCCATAAATATCTGTTGATTTCCTAAATAAACGATCTGTTGCCTGGCCCTTGTCTTCTGTTGTTACAGAGTTACCACACTCAATATACCACATAAAGGAAGGCAAAAGAGAGAAAGAAGGAAAGGGGTTCAAAAGGACTACAATAAGCAGAAATGTGAAGGAGACAGAATAGTAACACAGAGGAAAACATGAAGGTTTTATTAGGTATAGCAGATTCACAAACAGTCAATGCATCTGTAAAAGCTACTGAGGACGATTTCGAGCCGTATGATGGATTATCTTCACTAATTGGTTCTTAGAATCGCGAGGAATTCAACCAGTCAGGAAGTCTACATGGCTCACTCAAACCAACTATTCAAGATTTCATGGACTTATTCCAGGTTTGAATCTGACCACTACCGCTAACTAACAGCTAACATTGCGGTGGCTTGATATGCATAACACATGCATGTCCTAGATATCTCAATCGATGTAGCTATACAAGAACCTCATAGATTGATTTTACCTCTTTCAGAATGAATGATGCTCAGGAAGGCTATGTGCGCTTTTGGAAGTGTATGGGCGATTGTTACTTCCCGGCTGCCACCCACCACACCGTAGAAGTTGATATGCTTTTTCGGGTGCCTGAAACAGAAAGATACTTAATGTTGCGTGACCGCAAAGCCCAGGGGAAAACTGCTTGAGGTCTGTCACAAACACGGACTGCATGAATTGGTTTCTTCGATTGGTTCCGTATTACGGACTACCGTAAGGTATTTCGGGAAGTACAGTTTTTGGGGTCGACCTTTTCAAACCCCTGCCTCCAGAGTGGAGAGACAGCATAGCTGGCTGGCGTGCTGCTCACCTGAGGAAAACACCTTACTGCTGCTACATCCCTGTTCCTAACAATCTTTCTGGCATGCTAAGATCTGCAGGAACAATAGTTTCAGGCAGTGTAGCTTGTTGGGTCATTGAGATATGAAAGCCTGACCACCACGTCAAGGTAGAAGCTACCTCTTTACCCAACACACTATACACCATGAACCTCAATAATATTCACCCTTTGATAACCCCTGATATAGGAAAAAGAAAGCAGACACCCATGTTCTACGACAGCTAGCAGGCCTTTCCTTATCTCCCACTTTTAATGACAATATCTCACAGACATAAAGCAGAACGGAGCGAACTGCTGTACAATACACACGTCTTTTGATCGATAGCACAATTGGGATATCTTGTCTACGCCAAACATAATTTAAGTTGGCAGGCATGATATTGTCAGCGATATCAGCCCGTTGGGACTGACGTAACTTCTTGAACAAGTGAAGTAGTTAATGTAGATTTCATCTTTAGGTGTTTACTGACACTTCATATACAATTATTACTATTGCTCCTTTTAGTTCCTAGAGGAACATACGGCTTCAGCCGCGTGTCTCCATTGCGTTCTGTCCACTGCCAACGTTTTCACCAGGCTCCACGTATGCCCACATGCTTTCATCTCCTCTTCACATAACCTCCTCCATGTCACTTTTGAACGACCAACTCGCCACTTCCCACTCGGGTTCCACTCGAGCAACATCCTGGCTCTTGATGTCACTTGATGGTTTCTTTTCTCAGAGTATGGCCTCCAATACACATCCATTTCTTCCTGTATATTTGTTGCACAATCGGTTCCTGCTGGGTCGGTTCGCTCCCAGAGATCCAACTCTGTTGCTGATCTTTTCTGACCAGCCATCTCATCTTGAATAGTATTGAGCAAAGACAGCTAGCTGTTGATGAAGGTATGTAGTTTGTTCGAAGTGCTCTTCATGACGCGCCAATTCTCTGATCCATAAAGTAGCACCGACTTCACATTGGAGTTGAAAATCCGGATCTTATTTTTCATGCTGGGTGCTGTTGACCTCCACACAGACTTGAGAGAAATGAAAGCTTGCCTTGCTTGCCAAGGTCAGGCTCTTATACAATAACAGAGTTAATCAATAAAAAAATCAATTATCAAACTATTAGACTGCAGTGTAAAAAGCACAAACTTATTTGAATTACGGGAATCACTCATTCACTAACTGACTGACTCACCTTTAATATGTCCATCTCATTCAGTGTAGAACAAATCACCCGATGAGTATGCGCAGGGAATTCATATAATTTATCACATATACATAAAATAGATGCTTGTCGTGATAGTAGATAATTTTTCAATTCAAATAATGTAGCGCTACGATCTTTTAAACGACTAGTTGGTTTAGCTTCTGTATTTGTCACATCCAGGGAATAATCACAGATATAATAGGAGGCATCATCAGAGGATGAAAGTTGTGCTAATCGATTCAACCATTGAGGACGACTAGTTCCTAGGTGAAGCAGGAAAGAATAGAATATGACAGGAATAAAGCGAAATAACGATATATATATATATATCCAAATGAACTGTCGTCAAGATTTGACAGAATGGTTCTAAAATATTTGGGCGCCGAGTGAGAAGTAGACATCTGTAAAAAATTATATTTGTAAAATCTCAGCGAGATTGAAATGATTAATTCCAACGTTTCGTTCGGCAATCTGGTCCGAACTTCTCCGGGGAAATTAATCGAAATTAACATAACAGAGGTTTATATATAAAAGGAAACATCACTTGTTTCTAAAAACTTTGTCCAATCATGAGTTATTCAACAAGTATAATAAACAAAATTTTTTATGAGCTGTGATCAAAATTTGACCTCGGACTTACAAATATTGGTTTACCTTTGTTAAACACTTTAAACAGAGTGTGTATGTGTGTGTGTGGGTAAACAGTTGTAAAACATTTCTTAACGTCTCCATAAGAAGATATGGACAGTCGAGAATTTTGACCAAGAATTAATAATTAGTGATACATATCAATTTTTTATATTTATTAATAAGGATTTCCTATGCATCAGCTAACATCACGCCTTCATGTCTGTTCAAACTGTTAGTATCTAGAATTTTATGATTAGACGTATTTTCAGAATTATAGTGTTTAGGATTACCGTTTAGTAGAAGCACCCTGTCGGACTTATTGCTTTGTCTTCTTTCTGAAGATTGAGCTGCTTTATTCGACCTGCTGGAGTTATCAGGTCACTCGACAGCTACGGATTTAGGATATGCATTCTGTTGCAGACAACGGAGAGTGAAAACACGAAGATTGTGCCAATTACACAGTTTCTTTGTTAATTTAATTTCGATTAATTTCCCTGAAGAAGTTCGGACCAGATTGCCGAACGAAACGTTGGAATTACTCATTTCATTCTCGCCGAGGTTTTACAAATATAATTTTATATATATATATATTGCTTCCAATTAGATCTTCTTCAGGCTTTACTCTAATTTACACAGACTTACATATACAAATTGTAACCAATGACGCTGATTTTGTGGGTCAAATAAATAAAGGTAATAATAATAATGTCGTATAATAAAGGGGAACTGACAACTGTTAAAAAGAAACAACTGTTCTTAAAATTGCAACCTAATGGGGATGTGGCTTGCGAAGTCTTACATCTAAGATTATCGAGAGCAATAAAACTGACTTATACTGACGCTACCGCCCTTTGTTTGTCATTTCCCAGCTGCTGACCAAACATGATTGCTCAAGCGAAAGACAAACTCTGTCTAGCTGTATCACTTCTATGTGTATCTACAAATTTGGTTTCTTCTGTGGAGAAAGCCGGCTATATAGGACAAACAATTAGACAGCTTAACAAACGCATTAATGAGCATCTCCCTTCATGGTTCGGAAAATGCTAAATAAAATCTATAAGAAGTTCTGTTTTGACTCATTTGATTGGTGATGACGATCACCAAGTGGATAGAAGCAATGCCTTCAAAGTTATCGATCGCATTCCATCGAACCTTTCGAACAGAATTCGAACCCGCCTGTTAAATACATAGCCAAAGCTGTGGGAATTAACTCGAGAGAAAAATCCTGATGTCTTTGCATACAACAAAAGAAGTTTGCTCTACCTTTGTCGCCCCCATCCTTGGCTTGGGTAAATTTTCGTATTTTAATGATATTTATTTAAACTCTGATTATCTGTCCACTTCACCTACCTTTAGTATTACGTAACTTTTAAGATTTGACCTAATTTATTTATTTATTGAATTGTCTACATATAAACATATTACTTACTTACTACCTTCGTTATTCTTATCGCCACCTACACAAAACTTATTATTATTATTGGTTATCATTATAATCATTGTTAACTACGTTCAAAACATTTACCACATTATTATTATTTGATCCATAAAATCACCGTCATTGGTTACAATTTTTGTATATAAATTTATGTAAATTAGAGTAGAGCCTGAAGCAGATCTAATTGAAAGCATTAACATTGTTCGCTTATATGTCTTGTTCTAATATTAATATCCTCAAAGCCCTATATAAAAACACCTTAGGTAGAGTGTGAAGGCATACACCCATATATCACAGCTTTTGACGACTAACGATGGGATGATATTGTATTGTCCAGTCTCGTCATTTCTCCACAAAATTTACCATTGATACCGTTCTCAAGACATCTTTGAAAGGATGCGCGTGTGATGGTGTCTATGAGAGATTTTTCCACCTTGAATATGAGGAGACGCGATATCGCCTTCCTCTGCGGTGGTGAACAGGTTACTCAAATTGCCCATTAAAGATAAGTGTCTATAAGTATTGTATTTACTTTGATCCATTCAGGTACAGTGTAGTTTGGTTACATTCATAGCAACTTGTTCCCACACTCATCTGTGACAAGTGAACAATCAGAAGTCGGTCGAGAAATTCACGTATCTATATTGACTGACTGACTGATTGGTTTCAGAGCAGAACTTTGCACCGATGTGCATCAGTTCCAGTTGCCACACTTCACCTAGTACACAAAGCAAGCAAAGAGAGCAAAACGAGATTCAAAAGAGAGAGGGGGGGAAATAAACAGAAATATGAGGCAAAAAGAATGGAAATATGGAAGAGCAGTAGAATTTTATTAGGTATGACAAATAAATCACAAGGAGTGGGTGCATCTGCGCCAGGCCAGCCATTAATAACGATCACCTTGAGCCATATCACCACAAATTGTCTCAAGCTTTCATTGGTTTTTACCGTCCCGAGGACCTCAACCAGGAAGTCTACACCTTCCTACGTGGCTGGCTGGGTGGCTTAAACTAACTATTGTGGATTTCATTGACTGGTGAGGCCATGTTTTGGTTTGAGTACCGCTAGCTCTTTTCCAGTCTGACCCTATGTCAGCTAACATTGCCCGTCGGGGAAGGCGATGGCTAGGCAGGAGTAACACATGTTCTAACTATCTCAATCGATGTAACTTCACAGTCTCGCCTATTAAATTCCCCTTCTTACCTAGCACTCGACCGAGGCGTCACCACTTCACACGGGAGATAGAACGCAGACACCTATGATCAAAGACAGATAGCTATTCTCTTTTCATGTCTTCCACTTTCGATGGCCATGTCTCACAGCCAGCCATAAAGGAAGACGGAGCCGACTGCTGGGCAGTACACACGCCCTTTGGTCGATAGCCAGCCGGATATCACGTTTACGTATCTATATAGTTATTCAACAACTAGCTGCTGGGGAACATGACTACTTTCAAGGTTACAGATACGCCTTGTTGACTAACTGGTGAATACCAAAAAGCAAGAAACCTAATTCACGTAGGGCTTTCTTCCTTCAACCATCTAATAATAACAACAACGACAACAGTTCAGAGAGCACTGTGATGACCAGCCACCTAGCTTGATGGTGGCCGCATTGCAAACTGCTTGACGGATGATAGAATTCAGTGTGCAGCAAACAAAGGACTAGATGACTCCATTATGAATAAGATTTTATTTTGATAAATCACAGTGTTGTACAGTAATATTAAGCGATGACGTTTCGAACATAATTTATCATTGCCACTCATAAAAACATCAAGTCATACAACCTTTAGCTTCGTTTATATACATGAGTGAAAATTGATCATTAGACATTTGAATAAAAATCGATATAAGATAAAGTACATTCGGAAATAGTATTGGTATTAGTGTTATCAATCAAATACAATCGCATGGGAAATAAGACGAGTGTTTTTATAGTCAAAATAAGTAACTAGTTAGAATGTTAAAATGTATGTGAATTGAAATATATTTTAATATTATTTATTATCCTCCTCTGATTTGACTGACTGGTGGTAATAGTATCCTCCATATCTCTGGTATTTGCGTTGAGTCATTCCCATTGCATGTGTTGGGTGTAGACTCGATGAACCAGGCAGGATTCAGTAATCAATCTATCTTTATTTGTAACTACCTATATAACTTTTTTAGAATTTTGACTCTGTCCCATCCTATTGTGTGGTTGTGTGTTAATGCATACAATGCATTTGCTGAATTTCTTTTCTAAATTACTTCGTGGGATTAATCACTCTAACCTTAGCTAAATTCGGATGTTCTGATAATCCCACTACTTCTGATCTACTAGTATGACCTATGTGGTTCAACTAACTCACACTCATTGCAAGGTATTTTGTAAATTATATAATTTTGTCTAATTGGGTACACCGGGTCCTTTAGACTACAGAGCCTGTCCTACGTGAGTGAGTTTGTAGGTTTGAATACCACCCTAATTCCTGCTTTATTAAGAATCCTACTTAGGGAGAGTCTCAAATGTCGCCTCCTTATATGGTAAAACTACTGTAGATGTCTTATATTCTCTCTTATTTATGTTATCATTATTAGTCTAACCATTATTTTTAATTCGCTTTTGACCTTATATGATATTCCTGATGAATTTTATAGGATAGTTACTCATTTAACACCAATTGATGTTTTTTCTGTCTGTTTCATTTCATCGGTGGCACAACGATAGAATGCTTGCCAACCACAACCCCATGTGGTCCAGGATTCGATCCCCGGCAACCGACGCACTCCATTACCTCACCAAGCCATTAAATAAGACTGGTAAAGGGAGGGAAGGTTGGGCATGAGGCTGGCTAGCAACCCCGTCCCGTTAAAACTAAATAAACACCACTGCTAAAGAAACTTCAAGCCTCTAGCTTGAAGCCGCCCTATGTTCTCCACTGGGAACGTAAAGGAATAAGATAAAAAATTACATAAAGACAACTTCTGAAGAAGAAGACAAAGAATAAAAGACAACATTTAAACTTTAATTGAATTTTTGATTTTCCCGTCGATTGATTGGACCGAAGTGTTCCTCGGCCTCAGGTTGACATGTCGGCTTCTTGTGCAGATGCTTCGACGATGAAACCGAGCACTTCGGTCCAATCAATCGACGGGAAAATCTAAAATTCAATTCAATAATTACTAAGACCTGTTGCACAAGAGGTGGCCAGCTCTCGTGGTCCAAGTGGTCTAGTGGAAAACGCTTTGGTTGGCATCTGAAACTATGGGCAATGGGTTTGAACCTCGGTGGGAACAAAATCACTCACTCAATGGGGAAAATGCAGGTACATCCAGCTGGCGGACGACTCGCAAACAGGACGAAATGCGCGTTATCCTGGACTTGATTCCACTGCTAGTCACCATCCACCAATTAAACATTTAAACTTTCTTTACAAAAAAGAATTTACAAAAACACACAAACTTACCCTGATCTATTGAAGTTTGAATACAATTAGAAAGTAATTCAGTTGCTTCATAGTATTCATGTAAGGCATGTTCATGTCCTCCTAGGAATAAGTACATATGAGCTAGTTCTTCCTATTTATCATATACATAAAATAAAACAAAAAAATACAGAGAGAGAAGAGTCTTTGGAAAAATTCTAAACAAAAAAACTCATTTCAATTTAAGCATTTGCCCAAAATTCAATTCGTTACAAGTTGAACAGTTAACAACACTTCAACTGTATATGAAATTAAGATTGAAACGTCGTGAATACACGTTTCAGTCCGATGAGTCGCAAAGTAGGCTGACACGAAACAGCTAGTTGCTGTCTAGTACTCCCGGCTGGTTTTCATTGCTTCTCAAACGTGTAACAAATCAAATCCCCATTACAAATTAACTCTTGAAATCTCATCTGATATTCGCCAGACACTGAGTGTCTACAGGAAGAAGTCGTCTGCAGCTACCTAGTGGGAAGTGATAACCAGCCGAGTTCATAAAGTTGGATTGTGAGGATGAATACTTCGCTAATGACATTTGACTGGGTAGCAGTGGCGCTGTGTATATCGCGAATTGGCAAAAGTTAGAATTTAAAGACTGCTCATTGAATTTCCATAGCATTGAGGCTGAATGGTTAGGCTAACGAGCTCGCCTTGTCTCATATATCCGATCCCTGGAGGTAGAATCATAGCTGCATATTACCTAAGAGTCCTACACTAGAACGAAAGGGCTAGCTATCCTGAGTACTCCCCGCTGATTTTCAAATTCAGTTCGTCATCTGACTGACTGACTGGTTTCAACATAGAACTTTCCACGGATGTGCAGCAGCTCGAGTTGCAACACTTCACCCCATGTAGCACACAAAGCAAGAGAAGAAAGTAAAACGAAACGGAAAATAGAGACAGTAGACAGGAATATGAGACAAAAGGAATAGTATTAACGAAGAGCAATATAGTTTCATTAAATATTATAAGTCACAAGGAGTAGATGCATCTGCGCCAACTATTGAGAATGATTTTGAGCCATATCACCGATTGTCTCCAGCCTTCATTCGTGTTTACTGTCCCGAAGACCCCAACCAGGAAGTCTACATCTTCCTACATGGCTGGCTCAAACTAACTGTTGAGGATTTCATTGACTGATGAAGCCATTTTTGCTCTGAACACCACTAGCTAACTCTTCTTCAACCTGACCCTATGTCAGCTAACATTGCCTGTCGAGGAAGGTTATGGCTAGGCTAGGCATAAGTAATACATGCCCTAACCATCTCAATCGGTGTAACTTCGCAACCTCGTCGATTGATTCCCCCCCCCAACTACCCAGTACTCGGCCGATGCCTAACCTCAATATTGCTCACCATATTTTACCACTTTATACGGGAGATAGAACATAGGCACCTATGGTCAAAGACAGGTAGCCGACATTTTCATATCTTCCACTCTCAATGAGCAGGTCTCATAGCCAGCCATGAAGGAGGACGGAACGGACTGCTGGGCAGTACACACATTCTTCGGTCGACAGCCAGCCGGATATCATGTCTACACCAGAGACAGCGTAAGCTAGCATATATGCGAAACTAGCCTTCTGTATCCGTTCTGAGATTTCGTCAGCGATCAACCCATTGGGGCTGATGCAACCACTTTGACATCCTAGAATTACCACCACCACCACCAAGCATTATTTTTGAGTAATACACAGTCAATTCAATTCAGACAAAGTTATCACACATGAAGAAAAAACAAATAAAATGCAAAATAATCTAGTCAATAAAAAAATAACACTATAAAATGAAGACAATAAAACTTGAAGCAATTGATGTCATTTAGAATAAAATCGATGATATACAATAAGGTGTAGTAGTAGTAGTAGTAGTAGTAATAGTGATAGTAAGCATGAGAAACTAGTAAAGAGAAGAAGAAAAAACGGAGTAGACGCAAGCTGAACGTGATAGTTAACAATATCACTTTCTCTGTTTCTTTATTATCGATTATGAGCGCACGCACGCACACGCACACACTAAACACACAGAGATACGCACACTGTATGTATTTGCATTAATCACTGAAACTACTAAACGAGCTTACAATTTGGTAAAACGCAGACATATACACACACGCGCGTACATGCAAACAATTTTATCTTATTTACTGAAGACAAAGGATTAATCGGTTCAAAAGTTGTAGTAGTTTTTATGTAGCATGTGCTACTGATAAGATTTACCAGTAGTATACAGATAGACGCAGATGAATGGGAAGCAGCCAAAAAATGAATTCAATAATGCCTGCATAGAGAGGTAGAAGTGTTTATCTCTCAAATCTGTATTTAGTCTACGTTGTGGTTATGAAATAATCTCATTGGACAACTTCTCGCCCCATTGTTTAACCTTGAGCAGATCATCAACCAATCAAGAGCGGTTTATTGTCCTCCGACCTGGTCTACTTTTAATGTGGTTAAAAATGTGTATAAATATGGCGTGTTTTTGTAGTAAAAAGTTCGTTACCAATTCTCTTATTTCTGACATCACATAAGTCGTAGAAGTGATAAAGTGAAACTATAGTGGAGATAACTATATTACTTAAGAAATTCCATATTCAAATTGAACCACCCCTACGCCGCTTTATGAATTTGAGCAAAGCAATGAAAGATATATCAAAATGTTTGGAAGGAAGAAAAAGCATCTACTGAGTGGGAGAAAGGCTACCCCACGTCAAACTAAAAAAGGAAGGGCGACTTAGGACTCTGAAAGAACTAGAGCGGAATCATGATTTTCTCCTACACCAAGCAAAATATTAATTCGCGTCATCCTGGAGAGGCTAAAGCATGCACTAGATGCAGAACTCCACCCCGAAAAGGCTGGATTCAGGAAAAGCATGTCATGTGCGGATCAAATTGCAACTCTACGCATCGTCATCATCAAATACAGCATAGAATGGCATTCAAATCTCTACCTCAAGTTTATCGACTTTGAAAAGGTCACCGACAGCGTTGACCGATAAGTATTTTGGAAACTAATTCAATACTATGTAGGGGAATGCCCCATATCTTTATTAACCTCATTCAACAGCTGGCTATATGAAAACGCCACATGTCAGGTGATCCACAACGGAAAATTCATCAAAGACTTTGAGGTGAAGATAGCAGTAAGACAAGACTGTCTGTCCACTTAACCCTGACGCGCTTTCCAATTAGTGCGCTACATTCGCTCAGCTACATAAAACTCTTACTTCTCTGGTGTTTCTGGCCAGAGCTGAACATGTGTATATAATCTTGTTGACTTATAATACCTATAACTAACTGTTTGGGATGTCTGGAAAGCATAGCTTCAACTACAGGCGAAAGGAACTGATGAGGATATCAAAGCGAGGATCGGGAAAGCAAGACAAGCAAGCTTTCATTACTCTAGAGTCTGTTTGGAGGTCAACAGAACTCAGCATGAAAAATAACATCCGGATTTTCAAGTTCAATGTGAAGTCAATGCTACTTTATGGATCAGAGACTTGGCGCGTCATAAAGAGCACCTCAAACAATCTACATACCTTCATCAACAGGTAGCTGCCTTTGCTCAATACTCAAGATCAGATGGCTGGCTAGAAAACATCAGCAACAGGGATCTCTGGGAGCAAACCGACCCAGCAGGACTCGATGGTGCAACAAATATGCAAGACCACCACCACTTGCTGACTCTTTTCCAAACTGATCCATCCTATGTCAGTCAGCTAAAATTTCCCGTCGCTGAAGGCGACGGCTAGGCATGCCTAACACATGTCCTAAACATCTCAATCGGTGTAATTCCTCGACGGGCAATGTTAGCTGACATAGGTTCAGACTGAAAGGAGCTAGCGGCGGTCAAACCCAAACATGGCTTCATCAGCCAATGAAATCCGCAACAGGTAGTTTAAGCCAATCACGTAGGAAGGTGTAGACTTCCTGACTGGTTGGGGTCCTCAAGACAGTAAAAACCAATGGTTGGAAACAATTGGTGACGTGGCTCAAAATCGTTCTCAGTGGCGCAGAGGCATCCACTCCTTGTGACTTATGATTTCCAATGAAACTAAATTGTTCTTCGTTATTACTATTCCTTTGTCTCACACCTCTGTTTACTGACTACATTATGCATTTCTTCTACTTTCTTCTCTTCCTTTGTGTGCTACAAGGAGGGAGTGTGGCGACTTGAACTGCCGCACACCGGTGCAAAGTTCTGTGTCGAAAACAGACAGACAGACAGACAATCAGTGTAACTTCACAACCTCCTCGGTTGATTCCCTCTCCTTACCTAGCACTCGACCGAAGCCGCACCTCAATATTACTCACCTTATTATTCCACTTAACACGGAAAAGAGAACGTTGACACCTACTGTCAAAGACAGCTACCCTTTTCATGTCTTCCACTTTCAATCGTCGTGTCTCACAGCCATAAAGGAGGACAGAGAGAACTGATGAGTAGTACACACGCCCTTTGGTAGACAGTCAGACGGATATCATGTCTCGGAGAGTATCAACGCACATATCTATGCGTAAGAATATATATATATATACATAACAAATATGTAAAATTTACTTACTTTCCTATCTAAATACTCGAAATAATCCCAAGTGAAACTTGTACGTGAATCAGCCAGCATATGCAAGTGAACATCATAATCCACGATAATTGACATACACGCTGCAATGATCGCTTTACGAATAAGATATGTCAACTGATTCCACGACTCATTGAATAGTCTCTCTTCAACTGAATTTGGTGCAGGAACTTCAAGAAATTGTCTATTATTATTATTAAGAAGAACAAAAAAGAAAAAGCATTGTCTAGGAGGCATATGAGAACACTACTTTATTATCATTTTAGATCTTAAATACTAGTTGACAGCAGGAAGCTCTGGATTGAACATCGATTTCGTACTTTTGGGCGCATTCATCAGCAGCCAATAACTTTTGCATGTTAGATCTATTCAGGCAAAAACTGCCCTTTAATAGGATTCTATTATTAATGCAAATTAATCGCCTAGCTCTTAGTGTAACTCCATTTTGGATAAGATTTTATTTTGATAAAACCACACACAGTGGTGTTTTACACAGTAATATTAACTGATGACCACATTTCGAGTACAAACTATTGCCACTCATAATCATATCAAGTCGCCCACACACACACAACTTTTTCCCTTCATGTATATACATGTGTGGAATTGATGATTAGACATTTGAATAAAAATCAATATGAGATAATGTACATTCAGAAATAATAATATCAGTGTTATCAATCAAATACAATCAGATGGGAAATAAGACGAGTGTTTTTATAGCCATAATAAGTAACTTGGTGGAATGTTGTGATGTGCTTGAATTGAATTGAAATAGAATTTTAAGATGATTTATTATCCTCTTTTGGTTTGACTGACTGGTGGTAATAATATCTTCCATGCATATCTGTGGTATTTGCATTGAGTCATTTCTATTGCATGCGTTGGGTGAAGGTGGACTCAATGAACCAGGATTCAGTAATCAATCTCTCTCTCCACCTACATAGATCACATCTTAGAATCTTAACCCTCTCCCATCCTATTGTGTGGTTGTGTGTTATTGCATGCAGTGCAACTGCTGAGCTTTTTTCTAAATTACTTATCTTCTCGGGGTCAACCTTTCTTACCTTGGCCAAATTCTTATGTCCTGATAATATGACTACCCTCCGATCTACTAGTTTGACCTATGTAGTTCATCTAACTCACAGTCATTGCAGGGTAATTTGTAAATTATATTATTTTGTCTAATTGAGTCAACAGGGTCCTTTAACCTACAGAGTTTGTCCTATCTGAGTGAGTTTGTAGGTCTGAATGCCACCCTAATTCCTGCTTTATTGAGAATCCTACGTAGGGCCTCAGATGTCTCCCCTCCTTATAAGGTATAACAGTGGATGACTTATATTCTCTCTTATTTATGTTATCCTTACTTGTTCCACAATTATTTTTATTTTGTTTTTGACCTTTAGTGATCTTCCTAATGAATTTTATAGGATAGTTAATTATTTAACACGAACGCTTCTTCTATCTGTTTTATTTCATCATTTAGGTCTTTTCTTTTACTACTTAGTGCTACTGCTTGGTTTGTTAGACACTTAACTAAGCCTGCCTTAACAGTCTTATTTCCCATCTGATTGTAATTGATCAATAACACTCATATTATTATTTCTGAATGTACGTTATCCTATATTGGTTTTTATTCCAATATCTAATCGATTCCACAGATGTATATAAATGAAGGAAAGAAGTTGTGTGAGTGACTTGATATGATTATGAGCGGCAATAGTTGGTGCTCGAAACGTGGTCATCAGTAAATATTACTGTATAACACCACAGTGTGTGATTTATCAAAATAAAATCTTATCCACAATGGAGTTAGGCTCTACCACAGTGCCCAAGTTTTATACTTACATCAACTGCTTGAGACCGGTCATACACACAGTCTGTATGAACTGGTTACTTGGATTGCTTCCGTATTAGTAAACTTATCACCGGTTACGGATCACCGTAGGGTAAATCGGAATGTACAATTGTTAGGGTCGACCTTTTCTAACCCCTTCTCTCCAGAATAGAGAGACAGCATAGCTGGCTGGCATGCTGGTCATCTGAGGGAAATACCTTACTGCTGTCACATCCCTGTTCCCCAGGAGTACGACTTCGCCCATAGATACCCAGCATAGTGTACGAGAGATTCCTACACAATGCCGGTAACTGCTTTTAGTCTAATCGCTATCGTAACAACCTTCCTGGCATGGTGGGACCTGCAGGAACAATAGTTCCAGCCAGTATAGCTTGTTGGGTCATTGAGATATGCAAGCCCGGCGACCACCACGGCGTCAAGGTAGCAGCTATCGCTCGGGAACCAGTGGATTGGGGTAAAACATGGAAGACAAGAAAAGAAGACAATATACACAATAAGAAGGGTAGATGTAGATCTGTGCAAATGACAACTTTCGCATAAAGAGTACACAATTTCCCGATATAGTGATTTATTGTTATTATTATTCCTTTGGGTTCCTAGTTGAACATAGGGCTTCAAATGCACGTCTCCACTTGTTTCTGTCTTCTGCTGTACTTTTCACCTGCATCGATGTTAGTCCATACTGTTTCAACTCCTCTTCACACGATCTCCTCCATGTCACCCTTGCACCAATGAACCACTCGCCGATTCCCTTTCGGGTTCCACTCGAGCATTGGCCTGACGCGCGATGTCACCCGACGGCCTCCTCAGCAAGTGTCCAATCCATCTCCACTTTCTCCTGCATATGTGTTGGGCGATTGGTTCTTGTTTTGTTTGTTCCCATAGTTTCTTGTTGGTGATTCTTTCTGGCCATCTGATCTTCAGTGTATAGAACGAAGACAGTTGTTGATAAAGGTCTCCCTGCAACAGGCTGTTGGAAACATTCTTTGTGACCCACCAAGTTTCTGATCCGTATAGAAGAACTGACTGACTTGACGTTTGTATTGAAAATCCAAATCATTTTGTTGTTGATGTTGAGTGACGAAGATTTCCAGATTGGTTTCAGGTTGATGAATGTGTTTCTCGCCTTCCCGATTCTCGATTTCACATCCTCGTTCGTCCGGTCCTCCTGTAGTTGAGACAATGCTCCCTAGATAAGTGAATGAAGTAACCTCTTTCAAATTCCTTCCGTTGATAGTGATTGGCGCTGGATGTTGCTGCTGTTGTTGGTTGGTTATTTTCATAACCGTCGATATAGTGATACCAAATTCCAAATGAAAGTATTCCGTTACCAAATTTCTTGTCTTCTATCATTACAGCACTACAAACTTAACTGACAGAAAGCAGTCAGAGCTAAAGAATAGATATATGTCACATTGATTACACCCAAGTAACAGATTATTCCTTCCATTCCAGTCCTATAGGACGAGGTTAATCGCAGCCTTCAAAAATATGTGGCGATGTCTCCAAAGTGATGTGATGCGTTTTCCCATGTTTGAGTAGATAACAGTTCCTTCAAGGTTTTTTTTGATTACAGCTTGATTCCACACCGTATTTTTGGTACAAGTATGGAATTTTCAGCATGTGATATCAGTAGCCCAAATTTTGCAGGCCGACCATAGATATCAGGTGTGCGTCGGCAGGGGATCGAACCCCGGACCATGTGGATGGTCGGCGAGAGTCCCAACCGCTGTGCCACCGACGCAAGTACCCCTTGCTGACATGTGCCAAAGTTGGCATGGAACAGGATATCCACGACTATCTGTCGACTGCCTACAACAACAGCCTAACCCTTATCATCATTCGTTTGGTTTATATATGACTTTGACATGACACTTGATAAAGTCATTATTATTATTTTTTTTTAATGTCACTACTAACCGATCTCCTGTACGAACATTGAAATCACTTTTAATTTTATCCAATACATTTGATTTTTGTAATATTTTTGGAGTATTATACTGTGGATCAGAATTCACCATGATAATTAACCAGTCGAATACATTTCGTGCACGCAGATGACCCAACCAACTGCCGACAGCATTTCTTCCGCCTTGTGAAGTATACTGGGTGACATTCTGTAGGTGAAAAGAGAAAAATAAAATCGAAAATAATTCCATATAAGTTTATTTATTAGATGTATCACACAGTGAAACAGTATTATTTACTGGATGACACAGTTTCGAACACAAATTATTATTGTTCATAATCATATCATCAATTATAATCACACGACTTCGAAACTTGAGTTTTATAGTTTTCTTTATTCTCTCCAATTCATCGTTGTAGGGGTAGTAGAATTTTCCAGATATATGGGACAGGTGGTGAATCATTCCTATTAGGCGTGTTTGCACTTGATTCGATAATTAAAGCTTCTGTTATCAATCTCTCACCCCACACTGCTGTGACATTAGATTTTAAAACTGCCATCATATCCCACCCCATTCTATTGTATGGTTGTGTGCAATTCTATGCAATGAGTGCTATAGCCGAACTATCCTCTAGACTTCCTATCTTATTTCGGTCAACTAATCTAGATTATTCTGCTTGGTTTTTATTCTCAGCTAGTCTGACTGCATCTGTTCTACTACTTTGGCCTATGTATTTGACCTGAGAGTCATTGCAGGAAGGGTATTAGATAAACTAAATTGTTTTGTTTAATTGGCTCCACTTGCAGTACCCTGTAGCCAACAAAGCTTGTTTCTAATTGAGTGTGTGGGTGGATTGAATGCCAGACACCTTTATTCCTGCCTGTATTGCTAAGAATTCTCCTTACGGTGGTTTCCGAGGTCCCTTCTTTGAATGGATGATGATTTACATTCCCTATTGTTGCTGTTGTCATTATCCTGTGCATGTTTGACATGCATGTCATTATTATTATTATCACTATTATTATTAATTTAAATTTTTACATTTTCCTACATGCTTTGTGACTAATTTATCAGCTCTTCTTATATGCCTCACTTCCTGTCTTAAATTTCCCTTGATACTACTGAGTTTTTGTGCTCTGTCATTTAAACATTTCACCAATTCTATTTTTACTGACATAGGATGGGATGATTGGAAGTCCAAATATCTGTTTGAATGTGTGGGTTTCCTGTAAACACCAGTGTTTAATTCCCCATCTTCTTTCTTTTTTATGCTATAATCTAATATTGGAACCTTCCCTTCTTGACTTTCCAACTCATGAGTGAATTGAATTGTCTCCACCTTTGAGTTAATATGTTCGAAATCGAAAATATGCATCACTAAAACTATCAACTCACATTTGTATATGGTAATACAGTGTATAACAGTAATAATATAAGGAAACGATTCATATTAAAACCACCACAATAATTGCACCTATACGACGATGCCATATATGTGAAGTGATTCACAAACGAAAACTCAGCGAAGCCGCCTTTGAAGTGAATACAGAAGTATGACAAGACTGCTTGCCTGCTATCACTACTCATGATATTCTTAATTGTGGCGGACTGGATTATGCCGTAGACTGTAAACAGGGAGCGAGAAGACAGGAATACGCTGGACGACTAGTAAGAAGACTCTAGATGTTCTGAATTTCGCGCGTGGAGGATTCATGTTAAATGTCACACAAACTCGAAGACTTACATGCAAAAACCAATGAACTGGTAGAAGAAGCTGGTAGCGAAGACATAGCTCCAGTTGAAATTAGAGAAGACGGAGGTGATGAAAATAACCAACCAACCAATCAACAACACCAACAACAAGCACCAATCAATATCAACAGGAGAGATTTGAAAGTGGTTACTTCCTTCACTTATCTAGCTATACGGCATCGTTTCAACTACAAGCGACAACACGAGCGAGGATGTCGAAACCAGCCACAATCGGAAAAGCAAGACAGACCTTCATCACTCTGCAATCAGTTTGGAAGTCTAGTGCATTGAACATAAAGAACAAAAGCCGAACCTTCAACACCTATGTGAAGTCAGTCACTTCTATATGGGACGAAGCAATTAAAATCCTAACGCTCAACCAGCGCACCGAGAAAAGTGAAGCTGGATCGGGCGCACAGAGGAGATCGTGTGAAGAGGAGTAAAAGTTTATAGGAAATCGTGGAGTCAGTTGAAGAGGACTGCATGAGGACAGGACGAAATGGAAACGTGCAGTTGAAAGCCTATGTTACACTCGGAACTCAAGAGAATAATAATAACAATGATATAATAATTGCAGTAACTAAATACCAAGGTGTGCTTCAGTGGTTGAACAGTAGACTGATCACCATCCACGCACGTGATCCTTCGTTCCTATGCGCATCGTGAGTACAACTCATCCGTATTACGTAACTTAAATACACTTATTCAACTCTTCCTATGCATTGATTAGTATTGACAAGCATATTTGTGACAACTCATCACATTTGACAAACAACGGGTGGTGTCGGCGATATAAGTCCGTTTTATTCCTCTCGATAATCTCAGATGTAAGACTTCACTAGCTACATCCCCATTAGATTGCAGTTTCATGAACAGTTGCTTCTTCTTAACTGTTGTCAGTTTCTATTTATCGAGAGAACAATCCTAGTCTTTGCATACAAAAGAAGTTTGTTCTACCTTTGTCTCTCCTTTGGCTTATATATAATAATAATTTGCTTTGAACTAATGCACTATATATATATATATATATCTTGTTCTAATATTAAAAATGGGAATATTTAAAGATTTGAATAACTAGTGCGTCAGCAATGTAATGGAGGAGAAAGTGTATTATCGTTGACAGGTCATTCTTTTTTTGCTTTGATTTACCGCTTGATTCCATACCGTATTTTCAGTACAAGTGTGGAATTTTCAGCATGGATATCGGTAGCCCAAATTCAGGCCGACCATAGATATCGGGTGTGCGCCGGCAGGGGATCGAACCCCGAACCATGTGCATGGTCGGCGAGAGTCCTAACCACTGTGCCACCGACTTTATAGGTTACTTTGAAGGAAGGAGGAGTTTTGTTGAGATGGAATGACCAGCGTTGACAAGGTGTTCGATTATTAGGCTTCTTACAGAGCCACTGCTCTCTTTCTGCAGCCTGAACCCGTTTCAGACAGAATACGCATCGAACGACCAAATGTACCTAGCTCTACAGCAACAGGTTGACTGGTTTATGCAAATAGAAGTGGTCAGATGTGAGATTTTATCCTTTGAACTTCTACAGACCAATGGATCACTGAAGAACACTACTCACAGCGTTGATTTCTACTGACTTGATTTTTTTTTTGCTTCTTTTTTAACAACTCTTACAGAATTCCATATTTCCCTTCGTTTCTGTGTGCATCCTGAGTACAATTCAGCTGTTAAAATTATTCTTCGGATTACATAACCCAAATACAGTAATTCAACTATTCCTATGCATTGACTAGTATTGACAGGCATGTTTGTGACAACTGATCACTTTTGTTACTAACCTGTTTCATGAAAAACAATGCGATTGTACAGCTGGAGAGGGAAATGAATTCGCCGTGAAAAAAGTCTTTTCGTGCCTTGTTTTTTTTTTATCAATATCGACTTCTCAAACGAATCAGCAATCAGCTGATGGCATATTCAGTGAAATATACATTTGTGGTGAGAGCTGTCTGCAAGACAAAATTGTCAACAACAGTTAACGTCTATGTTTATATCCCGAATTGAGGTCATGGAAAAAGACAATAACAATAACATAGCCTAACCTTGACGAATTCAACAACCAATCACAACAGACTTAGCGTGGGCGGATACGATTCGCAGATATATCATCGAACTGTCTAAGAAACGGCAACAAACAGATGACAGAATAACCTTGAGCAAGAAAACAACCAATCAGAAGACGTTGCTTCTCTGCTAACAATAATGTACATAAAAATCTATACATATATATCCCTTGATTTTCTCAATAATCGATTTGTTGCCTGGTCCTTGTTTTCTGTCCTTACACATTAGGTATAATAATAATTATAATAATATCAACACACAAAATTATGGCAATTATCACATACACTTGATACAACATAAATATACAATAGCGGTTGAAAAGTGCCAACAGGTCGAACAGGTCGTCCACTTGACAAAACTTTTACATTTGACTGTAACTGATCAACACGAAATCGTGTAAAACAGGCTTCCAGGCGAACAGAATGTGAAATTGACAGTTTTGGATGCTTCCATGTTACTTGATGACTGGCTAAAGTGCCTAAACAATGACTTTCAAAAAAGGGTAAAAGATTTTCATCGCCAGCACCTAAAAATGAAAAAAACATTTTCGTGGATCATATGTATTATTTATGAATTTAAAACGACTGAAACTCTTTAAAACAAGTATTTGCTTAAAGGTGAAGATTGCATTCATGATTTACAAGACTAACGTCATTATTTGAACCTACATGAATCACTACTGGACATTTGTTTCATCCTAGTTTGGGACTCTTCATCAGTATGTGCTTACCTTATAACCTGAAGGTCTTGGGTTCCATTCTTGGTAAGATCTTGGGTGCGTGCAGTTACAGACTCATAAAACACTACAAGATAGTGATGATAAAAACTGGATGATTCCCCAACCTGTAAAAATGATGCTTCAAAAGCTTTCACAAACCTTTAACTATGGATTTCTTACATTTTAGATGTATAGTCAGACAAATTACGTTTCTTGATGTGGCTAAGTGCAATATAGTCACAAACTTTTAGGGTTAATACCTTTCCTCGGTTTGAATACTGTGAACTTCTGAAACCACCCGTCAAAAAAGCATTCTTACGACGATGAACTCGAAAATAGTAAGAGGATACTCATTTGAACTGTGAACGGTTGACTTATTTCAATAAAATAAAGCATTTAAGGTATTGGATAAAAAATTGGAGAAAATGTACAATATTGAAGGAGTAAGTAACTCGGTAAAAAGAGCATTCATTGTTGCTGAATTATGTTGTGTCTTCAAAACCACCTCATATTTTGTGTTCGCCTCTTCTATGTGTGTATCTGCCGATTTGACTACTACTGTGGAGCCAGTTGTATAGGCCATACAATTAGGCATGTTAATCGTCGGATTTCAGAGCATCGTCCCGCGTGGTTAAGTAAGGGACAGATAATCCATTCGCAGTTCTATGCTATCTCATCTCATGGATACAGAAAACATGATTGATATAAACAAGGCAGTCAAAGTCATCTACCGTAAACCAACTAATCTTAATTTTACCTCAAGAGTTCACCTATTACATATTGCTGAGACTGTTGGAATCTACACTAACAAGCCTAATCCATGTATCCAAAAGAAATTGGTTCTGATGCTTCCCTTGCCGTGGCCATCAAGGTTTTAATGATCCTTAACGTATTTCCTTCCCCCATCCCCTATTAAATCTCTACCCTTTTATTGCCACTGTTGTCAACTTGACTCTCCTTCAAATTTTCCCGTCAGTTATATTACATCACACAACTTACTTATTTTATTTTTACTTCTACCTGATTAATTCTTTTTATGTAACGTAATTTGTTATCTAAAATTCACAATTTTAGTGACATGTCTTTGTAAATATTCCCTCTGTTGCTCATATTATATATATATATATGCGATTGTACAGCTTGAGAATGATACCGTCGATAAGAGTAACTCTTCGCTGAACGCCTTTTCTTTTATATGACCCAACGGGGGTTTTCAAAATCCTTAATTTATTGTAGAAATTTCCTTAGTTTTATTTAATACCCTATTTTTTATTACATTTTTATACTTATTATAACTTATGCATCTTTCTTGAACTGTAGTTTCCCTAATCTTAACAAATCGATGTTATCAAGTATTCGTTTGTAGGTATTTTGTTTAATAGGTTGGAGGATTTCATCATGAGCTGACATCGGTTAGAGGACCTGGGAGTGCTGGACAGCTGTCGTGAATTGGCAGAAGTTAGAATTCATGGACTGGCCATTAGATCGGGTCCCAGTGGCTTAATGGTCTACGAGCTTGCTTTTCTTGTAAACAGAAGATCCCGGGTTCGAACCCCGGTGGGTGCGTACCATTGAAGAGTTCCAAACTAGGCTGACGAAACACCTGTCCAGTACTCAGGTTTTCCAGTAGTCCTCTAACCGATATCAGTTTATGCTGAAATCCTCCAACAAATCGATATAATCTAAAAAACATTGATATTGCTAATAATAATTATTTTAGGATATGCTGTGCGTATATATACATATATAATTGTAGAGCAGGAACAGGAAGTCTTCGAAAAGAATATTCTTTTGTTCAAAGTTTCCTTTGTATTCAAGTATCTCAAATTATCCAAAGGAAACAAATCATTTCAGCCTCTATAGTCTTACAGATTTTTAGAAGTATTTAACCAGTTATTCTATAAAAAGTGGAAAAACAAAGAACAAGTCAAAACAAGCGTCTGACAGAAGAGGGTTACAAAAAAGGCAAGCTTGTATACCATTCAGCCACTGGGACCCAACTCAATGGCTCATAAATTCTAACTTCTACCAATTCGTGATTTAGCGCGACCCCAACCATTGTCGTTGGTGGGACATCCATCCTCACACGTGACATCTGGATGGACCTCACTGGTCACGACTTCTCAATAGAACTCCAGGAAACTCCATCCTGTAGGAAGTCACTAGCGAGCATCAGATTAATTTTCTATAGTTTGGTTTGTAAGGGTTATTTTTGTAACCGGAAGGTCCTGGGTTCAAGCCCCAGTGGGTTACAAAAAAGGATTTAATTGCTTTAAGCAGTAAGAGTATTAACAAGTAAAGCTACACAATAAAGACAACAAACTTACATGAAATAACCGGTTTTGATATAAATTCCATTTAAAATAAAATATGGGCTGTGTTGACCCGTTGACTTTTGAATTAGACAATACGAGTTTGTTTGTTTTTTGAAAATTATGTTGATTATTTTGATATTTTGTATTTTACTCCTAAAAATAAAAGAGGTGAATAAGTGATGTAATATAGTAACAACCAGTTGATTATATTCGCATGAACATTGCATTATGAAGTGGTTTTGATTAGTTCATAAATTTCATTTTTTTTTCTAATGCAAACGAATAAAAAAGATTTGTTACTAAAACCACAATGTATGTATAATTTGTGGGGCATGAGTAATGGACGTTAGTAAGTTGCTAACATATATCTGTTAGAGAACCATTGGAAAACCAACACGGAGTACTCGACATCTGTTTCGTCCTAGTTTGAGGCTCTTTGGCAGTATACACCCCCTGGGGTTCAAACCAAGGACCTCCCAGTTACAAGTTCAGCTCGTACACCATTCAGCCCATAAATCTCAACTCCTGCCACTTCACAATGTAAACATATATAGCGCTACCACCAGCCAATGCCCTAGGCGAGTAACTGATCTCTTACCTTACTTGGTCCTGGGTTCGACCCCTGGTAGTGCGTGCGTTTTGACGAAGAGTCCCAAACTGGGGCGAAACAGCTGTCTAATACTCCGCACTGATTTCCAGTAGTTTTCTAACTGATGTCAGTTTGTGACTAAACCTTTAACCAATCAATCAATCTCTTGACTAGTTCAAAAGTTGGTGAGCAGAGAACAGCGTAGATGACAGTCATACAGTAAACATCGAGTACTATTCGTCTGTACCCGTGATTTCCAGGTTGACTTGGTTAGAAAAATTTTAGAACATTAGTTCCATGAAAAGATGCTCGATCATCATTTTCAATACTAACTTTATCTTATTTGGGATATACTTTCATCCAGATGAGAGAAAACACCATCCCTGGAAACTAAGTAGCCCAACAGATAACACTGGTGATGAGAAATACAGGTCCTGGTTCGGAGTTCAAATGGGAATATCACGATTCATTTCAATGCAGATCATGTTTACAATACGCAGAAACAGAGACTGAGACCCCTAGATTATGCTGACAACTGACTGGTTTCAACGTTGAACTAAATTTGCACAGATGTGCAGCAGTTCCATTTTACTTACTTACTTTGCTTCGGCTATCTCCTACGGAAGGATGAGCCGGCTTCATGAACTTCTCAAATCATCGCTACCCAGGCGCAGCGATCTGATGAAGAGAGTTTACGAAGTTTCATGGGAATTTGGTACGAGTGATGTCCCCAGAACCACTCGGCCTTTTGTTTGAGAGTGCAGCTCTAGCCTTTACACAACCAAGTGTGACCTACAAGGCAGTAGGAGTGGAGTAGGGACTCCACTATCCATTGGCAGCCGGTGACCGGAGTTCGGTTCATACGCCTTTTTGAATGGGGCCAGACATCCAGGACATCCAACAAGCCCTTTGTCCATACGTCTGCCGGTGAGCTCCAGTGAGCTTCATACGCCAGTCGTTGGAGGTTTGGAATCAGGGTTTAGCCATCTCCCCTAGACTGTCATCCAATGGACAGTCAACCCGGTGAAGAGCGCCGGGCATCCGCTTTCGCCCTCTCACTGGTGAAAAACACCTCCGCCACGTGAAGGCAGTGAGTAGGACTTCCTCAGGAGAGGCTATGTAAGACGCCCGGTCATATGGGAGCATTTCAAGAGGTGTGCGGAGGGGTGGCCAACCCGCAGTTCCATTTGCCACACTCCGGTCGGTCGGTCGGTTTTCGACATAGAACTTTGCACATATGTGCGGCAGTTCAAGTCGCCACACTCCACTCCATGTAGCACACAAAGCAAGAGAAGAAAGTAGGAGAAATGCATAATATAGATAGTAAACAGAGGTGTGAGACAAAGGTATAGTAATAGCGAAGAACAAAACAGTTTAATTGGAAATCATAAGTCACAAGGAGTGGATACATCTGCGCCAGCCATTGAGAACGATTTTGAGCCATGTCACCAATTGTTTCCAACCATTAGTTTTTACCGTCCCGAGGACCCCAACTAGTCAGGAAGTCTACACCTTCCTACGTAACTTAAACTAACTACTGTGGATTTCACTGTCTGATGAAGCCATGTTTTGGTTTGACCATCACCAGCTCTCTCATTTTTAACCTGATCCATCCTATGTCAGTCAGCTAACATTGCCCACTGTCAAGGAAGGCGATGGATGGCTAGGCATGCGTAACACATTCCCTAACCATCTCAGCCGATGGTTAAGACATGTGTTACGTACGCCAGAATCGAAAGGGAATATGGTACTAATGAGCAATGATCCGGTCAGCCACACCTCATATCTACACATCAAACACGTAATTAAAAAAATATAGATATGAAAAGGGCAAAATCATATGTCATGGAATGCTATAAGATTAGAAAAGAAAATGTAAACAAAGGTATGCAATAAAATGCGTTGCTGCACATCCTCAATTTGGAGAGGCAAGTTTCACAAACACAAACTGGCAATAGTAGGTCGTAAATCTGATTATCTACAGTCAAACGAATACTTTAAAAAGCTACTAATGCATACTTTTCCAAAATTCGATATAAAATTAGAAGTGAACCGTCAAACACCCACCGCGGCTAACAAAACAAACTTTTCAAATGTTTTAATCCCTCACTCATGAAGATACCTGCAAATACAGAGTCCTAAAAACCATTGTAACTACTCTACACACCAATTTCCAAGTAAAAAAGTACAATATCCTCTACGTAATTCGAATTCAATTTTAGTCAGCGAAGGATATCAACGGAGCGAAAAAATAACCTTAAGAGCTGTTATGAAAAGAATGGTGAAATTTAGCAATTCTGCTGAAATTCCATGGCTGATATGAAACAAGGATAATAAGTCATTACATTTACTCAATTTTCCAGAGTTGCTTTTGCTTGGCCCAGTGAAGACATAGACAAACATTTCAGGAAATCAATTTCATTACGGGGGTGATAATAATAATAAGCTTAAATTTAAAGAGCAGTCCAATATTTCTTATCAACAAAGGAGCCACTGCAATAATCCAAATCACAACTCATACAAGGACATCAAACAGAAGATAAAAGAGAGAGAGAAAGAGACAGAGGGAAACGAAAATAATCGAAGGCTGCAGAATGCGTTAAGACGAAAATTGGAGAATAGTGTTATCAATAAAATGGTATAGGATGGACAACACAATTACGAAACTCAGCAACCTCTTATCGAGTCAGCTTGCGAAGTGTGACATTAGGTAAAATATTCTGTGCCATACTAATACAAAAATGATCGTCACATGCATCAGCCATTTACCTTTGAAGACAGACAAAGCCATGCCTTCATTCTACAGTGATAGAACACCCTTAATCTTTCACACTCTGAAAAGTAAAATTAGGTCCATGTAGTTTAGCCTTCATATTTGAAAGAAGACAAAATTAAGCTACCTCGGCTGGGTGACTTACTACACTTTGGAATTACCCCTGACTTTATATTTCTTCAGGTGAAAAGATGTTAACAAAACACAAAACCATGTGCTTTAGAATATAAAATGCTGACGCCATACGGCAACTAAAGCACTTTCAAAAGTAATCTGACTATTGTTTCAAGTATCTTAGAACACTGACGTTAGACTACCCATTACACTCTCTACAGTTATAACTTGATATCTAAAGGCAGACTCTCTCCACACAGTGCAGTATTTAAACCCACACAGGCCCTCCAAGAGATTTTACCTCATTCTTTTTTCTGGGCAACCAAGTCAACAAATTTTTCGTGCTAGACGAACTCCCTGTAAGATCCGTTTGTTTTCATGGGACCTAAACCACTATTATTTATTCTGAAACCAGAAAACTGTGCAAATGTGACTCCGAAATATATAAAATAGAACATTCGGTATGGGGCTTCCAGCATCCCTTACTAGTATTTCTCATAGTAAGATAATTAGGAAGAGAGATGTCACCATGAGTTTGTCCGTGGTCAAACTTCGAAGAAAAAATTCCATAACGAGGTGGGCAGCAGATTCTACGATCTTTTATTCCCTTCCTAAGGGAGAAAAATTTATAACGTCATATTCAAGTTCTCTCAATTGTGAGCAGAGGAGCAACCACGAAAGTGAAAACAACGATAAGTGCTAATCCATCAAGAAAACCAGTTTAAGTAATTATTAACCTTCAATACTCACGAAAATAAGAGAACCAACAGGGAAATACTGTGAATATTGTGTTAATAAAATATCCCCATGTAAAAGAAATAGAATGAAGTTAAATTATAGGAGCCAACACAAAAAATTACAGCATATAGACGTTAGGACTGGCAAATTTGTAAACCAGGTGTATTTTTATGTATACAGAGAGCATCCCAAATAAAAACTTAGGGTAGTTTCGGAGGCAATCTTAGTGTTTTTTTGGAGAGGTGGGGAGATGTTACACTGCCCCCAACATTCTTTATTCAGACTTATTCCACCTTCAGTACTACTTCACTACAGCCCTAATGAAGGTTCTCAGCTAAGTATCACAGATAACCTAATATCTACTCAGAACTAAGAAACCAGATGAAGAGCGAGCTATGAAAGTAATACATGAACAAAATTCCCGAAGAACAATGTGTGTGGTCGCAACAGTATCATTTTGAAATTTCTTCGGTCACGTTATAAGTCATGGGTGCCACGATTTAACCGAGCCATATAATTCACGTACGCTAAGTAAGCTAAAAGAGCTGATCATGTATAATGGGCAGCGTATGACAATCAGGAAATGAGGGCAAAAACAGCACGTCTAACGTCCCAAAATTTTGCAACGCACCTTGCGAAAAGGCCGCTTTTTAGTACTCTACGCATTGAAGATTGTCCAGTACACAGATTCAGATTTGTTGGCTGAGGATATAATGTCTGATGCCGATTTTACTCTTTTTCTGGTTAATTTCTGTGCTTTACTGAACCTTTCTTGAGTGAATCAATTACGGCTGCAGTCACCACTTCTGGGAGTCGGTTCCAGGAGTTAATGACTCGGTGTGATTCAGATTCAGTTGATAAGGATAGAAGTCTCTTTTGGCCTGTGTTAATCCTTGCAAAATATATCTCTGCAGAGATCTAACTTCTCTTTGAAAGCGTTCACCGATGGAGCTGTTACTACTGAATCAGGTAAGGAGTTCCAGTCGTTGACCACTCTGTGAGAGAATCTAAATTCTGCACGTATTTTAATCGTCCTCGGTTTGAGCACCTTTTTGCGGTGACCCCGTAAATGTATCCTAGAAGGAGAGAAAAGTTTAGAAAGGTCAGTTCTTAAATCACCCTTAAGTATACGGTATGCTAAAATTAAGTCGCCTCTCTTCCTTCGGTATGATAACGGAAAGAGATTTAGATGCTCCATCCTCTCATCATAAGGAAGGTGTGAGATACCACTAACTAGTTTCGTTCCTACTCTCTGTACTCTTTCCAGGATATATGCCTCCTTTTTGAAGCATGGACCCGCCGCTTGTACGCAGTATTCTAGATGAGGCCTGACATATGTTGCGTAGAGTATTTGGAACATGCCCTCATCTGATCGTTTGAAAGCCCTACGGAGTGCCCATAGCATTCGAAAAGCCTTAGCTGCGGCTGCATTGCAGTTGTTTTCAAATCATTGCTGACAATGATTCCTAGGTCCTTCTGTTCGTTAACATCAGGTAGTTCTGTGTCCCCTAGGGAGTACGACGTATAAGACTTAGACCTAAGTGCATTACTGCGCTTTTCCTAGAATTCATTTCCAAACTCCACAGGTTCGACCACTCAGCTAATTGATCTAGATCAGTTTGTAGGGCCGACCTATCCTCGCTATTGTTTACAGTTTTCCATGCCTTAATGTCGTCTGAAAATAACAATGAAGATGAAGTAAGAATCCCTGGTAGCTCATTAACGTATAATAGGAATAGCAAGGGGCCTAATACAGTTCCCTGAGGCACTCCACTGGATACTGCTTTCCACCCTGATAGTACACCCTTAACTCTAACCTTCTGCCTTCTATCCATTAGGTAATCCCTAAACCACTCACATAGGCATTGGTCTAGTCCGAAACCTTTAAGTTTGCTAAGGAGACCTAAGTGGGATACTTTGTCGAATGACTTGCTAAGATCAATAAAAACCACGTCCAACAGAAGGTTTTTATCTCTGGCCTCGACCCAATCTTCCCTAGCTAACAGTAAGTTTGTCAAGCAGGATCGTCCTGGTCGGAATCCATGCTGTTCAACTGCCAGTAAGCCATGTGTTTCAACATAAGCTAATAGCTGATCCCTTATAATAGTTTCCATTACCTTTGCTATAATGCATGTCAGACTTACCGGCCTGTAGTTAACCAGTACTTCGCCACAATATGGCTTCTCCTTGGCCTTATAGCTCTCTGGCCATGTATTCTAAGGTGTCCGACGTGGTAGGAAGGAAAAAGGAAGATAAATCAGGTGTGTTGTCATTATTTAGAATTTTTTAATATGCAACTAAATCTCCTTTCTGCCTACTGTATGACAGGAAAAAGAGATTTAAACTGTCTAGTCATTCCTCGTAGAATAAATTAGTCATGTCAGGAATCATACACGTTGTCTTCCTTTGAAACCTTCCTAGAATGTTTGAGTCGTCTTCAACACAAGGTCTGGCTGCCTGGATATAGTTTTCTAGTCTTGACCTCGCCAGGGATAAGGAGGTAAGCATATCTCTGGTGATTCTAGTAATAACTCTGCAAATTGACATAAGGATCTCAAACTACGAGCTACAACAAGCTCGAAAGTGTGCCGTAGTTTCTAAGTCGTAAGTTGTGTCACTTGGGTCCATATGAGTCTGAAATGATGGAATCTTTTTCCCGCTGGTACGTAGGGGCTGATACTTGCGTGTCCAATGCTCATGGTTGCACATTTCGCTACACTGGCGGGGAGCATCCATACTTTGCATCACTCTAACAATGTGTTGAGGTCGTCTTTCAGCGTGAGCTTAGCACTATCGACTCTTAGCTCATCTGTAAACAGGACCATTAGGGAATACTTACTGATATACAAAATAAATAGGAGAGGCTTGAGTGCTGTGCCTTGTGGCACTCCGCTACATAGTGTTGTGTGGAGGTAGACTTTTGAGTTGACCCTGACTCTCTGTCTCCTACTTCTGAGGAATTCCCTAGTCCAGTTTAATCGGCTGTCTTTGATACCAAGACTTTCCAACTTCGTGTGTAGTCTTTTTAAGGAACTTTATCGAAGGCTTTGCTAAAGTCTGTGAAGACGACGTCAACGGGTTTCCTGTTGTCCGTTGATTTCACTCAGCTTTCTCTTGCAATGATAAGATTTGCTAGGCATGAGATGTTTCTTAAGGAGCCATGCGGCGCTCTGGACAACAATTTGTTGTTTTCCAGATGCGCCATGATGGCTTCTCTGATGATTCTTTCCAGTGTCTTGATTGAGGTGGTTTGTAGGGCTTTGTCTTGATCCTACTTTGTGGATGGAGTTACTGAGGCGTCTTTCCAGTCACGCGGTAACAATCCATTTTGGAGAGGTGGCCTGAAAAAGACTTTTGAAAAAGTGCTAACTTATGGTGGTTCACGACTGTATTTCGTAACATATCTGATGGTGTCTGTAGAAGTGGGATGAATTTCATGTATACTTACCCGTTTATACGAAACAGAAATTATTATTAAATTATTATTACACGACAAAAGGAAGCAACATTATAGTGCGAAGGTTGCTCTGACCATGGTAGGACGAGGGAATGTGTGTGGCGCTACTCAGATCCTGAATAACTAATGATTCAGCTATGTGTAGATGGCGTATTCTCAGCCTTTCGAATGATATTGAGGAACTGTTCTTAGCTCTGTGAAGCATTCATAGGGGAGTGCTCGGCGTCCGCAGTTGACAAGGTGTTCGGGGATGGAGCTGCTGGTATTCTTCTTTTCTTCTCTGCCTCGCAACTCAAGCTGGACAGTGTTCCAGAATAGATTTGCATACCTGACGTTGCGTACAGTCGATATACTTTTCTCCACACAAACAAGTAAACTGATAAAGACACATTGAGGTGGCCGAAGGGGATATCTTGACTTTAACTCCAGACGGGATCGATTGTCTGCTGGAAAACGTGATGCGTAAAGTGGCTGCCTATTTTTTGATTTTAGCAACAGGATATTTCCTGGGGTTTCTGCAATGAATCTTGTTGGATACCAGTTCATTGAGTGAAATTCACTCACTGCGTGAAACCCTTTTAGAGATCAATTGTCGGAATATCTACTTAGGGAAGATCTTGTTACAAGGTCTCAACACGGATTTCTCATAGATATATCCTGCGTTAATTGTCACTTTGACTTCTTTAACTGCATCACTAGTAGTTGTGAATCACTCAGGCTACTCGCTGTTCTCTACTCCGATATATCTTGGGCATGTGACACGATACTTCACAGTATTCTCTTTGAAAATCCGTACTCATGTGGAACTCGCAGTCCATTACTGAACTAGTTTAAATCATTTCTAATACACAGGGTACAAATAATCAAAGTCGGGCCAGTATTGTCTCATCCCCAGGCAGATCACAAGTGGGGTTGTGCAGCCTAGTATCCTAGGTCATTAACAGCATTCGTAACTGCTTCACCTCGGGTAAGCCACTCCTATATGCTGACGACCTCAAAGCCGTTTACTCCTACTACAGTCACGAATTAAACGATATGGTAAGAAGAATACTTATGGAACTAAGTAGTCTCGCAACATGGTGTGCTGAATACTATCTAAGGTTTAACATTGACAAATGCGGCTGGATCTGCATCAGCAACAGTAACCCTGACGTAACTCTTGAAGTAAATGGACAAAAGCTGATTAAACTCAGCCCAGTCGTCGGTCTAAGTATCAGATACCCTAGTAACTTAACGTTCTCTGAACGAACTGATTATACTAGAAGTACAACACACAGGTTCCCTGGATGCATAATTCGCAATTTCTTTTGTTGTGAAACTATTTTTTATACAAAGTGTGTGTTCGATCTATTTTAGAATACTGCTGATCAGCAGATATGGCAGTGGTCACAAATGTGAATCGCTCCAATCTGTAGGACAGAAACGTGCATTTTTTAACAGCCCGAGAATTAAATATTAGTCTGGACCCTCAACGAAAAAATAATAGTAAGGGTTGTACAGATCTAATTATGAATAAAAAGTGCTTTGGCTCCTACCATCTACAAGCCTGCTCAGCTTCTTGTCAAGATGCTACCCATTGGGCCCTACAGAAATTCGTGAGATATCTTACAGGCCAGCCTGTCCTACGGGTTTTAATTTTCCAGATCTTTGAATTCACTCCTCACTTAAATATCACTTACCTATCTCACAATAATCTTTTTATTTACGCACTATTATACTCTATCTGATCTTAAATACCTAGGCTTTTATTGAAGCTGAAACTTGCTCTTTATTCATATTTGTTGCTTGCTTTAAGTCTGGTTGCTTTGATAAAAAACACAACAATACCAATGTTTGAACAAAGCTATATTTTCATCGGAAACGTGATAGTCTCCATGCTTAGATCAATTTGGTTAACATTAAACATTGAAAATGTAAACTATCATTTCAAGTACTACATGGCTTCTTCTTCTTGTATTTATCTTTTAAATATACTTCCAATAATGTATTATTCATAATTGCATTTTAAACCCTTTTGCAGCTGCGCCAGATTTTCTTCACTTCCTGAAATAGCGTTCAAGCACGTGGGGGCATAGCACTCACTCAAATATATGTTGTATATCGATTGGCCATAACTATCATTAGGAAATGGAACGAATTTTGGGTTGTCACTCAACTTTGATGGTGACCTTAGGGAAAGATTTACAGAT